GCAGCGAGCCATCTTGGAGCCACAATATGCACATTGTCGGCATCTGAGGGGAGGGGGGGGGGCGAGCCACCACGCGTGGGGGAGGATACGCCGTGCGAGCTGTGCCACTGAGGCCGTATGTGGTCCTCCCCATGGAGCCACGAAACGTTCGGAAAATGTGCCGACTCGGGGGCGGGTGCGCCACGCGATCTGCCGCCAGGGCCGTACCTGGCTGGATCCTCCTCCTATGAGGCCATGCAACGCGTGAAGGCGTGACGATTTGAGAGCGGGTACGCCATGCGAGCTGTGCCACACAGGGCCACAGGTGGAGCTTCCAATGGGCCAGGGAACGTGTGATGGGCGTGCACAACTGGGGGCGGGTGCGCCACGCACGTAGGCCACTGGGGCCGCAGGTGGAGCTCCACATGGGGGCATGAAGTGTGTGAGGGGTGCGCCAGAACCAGCATACGGCAGGGAGCGGCGGAGGATGAGAAGAGGAGGAATCATACTAAACTTGTTCGTAACAATAAGATTAAGACGACGAAGAAGACGCATGCTTTTAAAACTGGGATTAACAAGACTACTAACGGTATCACTAAGAAGAAGCAACGCAACGCTGCATCTTGAACACGAGGGCACCATTCCACACAGGAGGACTGGGAACAATCTATCCGCACCTTCGAGTTCTACGATCCCTTGCGGACAACTATGTGTCCGCGCCTTCGAGGTCATGATCCGAGCCTTGCAGGCCACGACCCAGTGAACAAAAACGATGGATAAGCGTCTTCAAAGCTACGATCTCTTGTAAATAACGTTTGTCCTGCACATTCGAAGCCACGCTCCTAATATAAGCTTAGCATGGCGGGGACCCGACCCTTAGCAACTTCATCCGACGTTGGTGATGAGCCTCTTTATGCGCGACCCGTTTGAAGAATGTGCCGCCATGGGTGGGGAGGCGTATGCAAACTTTCCCGCTGGGGCCGTCGGTGGAGCGCCTCATGAGGCACGATTCGTAAGAGGGCTGTGTCGACATCGGCAGGGGGGACGCGTGCGAACCCTGCCTCCTGTGCTGTCAGTGGGATTACCTGTGGGGCCACGATCCTCGTCAAGGGTGTGGCGACATCGGCCCACGTCCGCCATGCTGACTTTGCCACTGAGGCTGTAGGCAGAGCCCCCCTGGGGCCACGATCCTGGTAAAGGGGTCTGCCGAAACAAGTCGGGGTGCCGCATCCCGCCCGGGCAGTAGGTGGAACTCTTTCTGCGGGCACGACGCGTGTGAGGGGTGTGCCGAAATCGGCGGGGAGAACGCATGAGGCCTTGCCGTAGGCGGAGCTCCCGATGGGACCAAGAAACGCGAGAGTGGTGTGCCGAGATAGACACGCAGAGAACAGATGCAGAAGGAGCGGACAATAAGAGGTGAGGTGATACGTGCGGTGCTGCAGATCCAAGTCGAGGACCCAGCAACACAGGAAGGTTGGGAACACTGCGTTCGCGCCTTCGAGGCCACGATCCTTTATCTATGATGGTGGATCCGCGCCTTCAAGGCCACAATCCCACTAGATCTACGCTCCGAATCCGCCAACCGCCCAACCAACCCTCCAACCGTCCAACTAGCCCACCAACCCGCTAACTGTCCATTCAAACCAACAACCAACGGGTGGGCCAACCTGCCAACCAATCGACCCGGCCAGGCAGGCAATCAGAGGGGGGGGGCTGGCGGCAGAGGGCGAAGCCCCTCAGGTACGCAGTACCCCACCGTCTGCCAAATCCATCTTCCCAGCCCGACGCTGCCGAAAAAGTTCCCAGGGCACAGTGTGCAGAGAAAGCCCGACATCCAGGTGACTATGTCGAGGCGGGCCTCGGCGGCTCCGCGTCGTGGCGATGCCGTGAGAGCAGAGGTTCCACGTCGTGGCGTGATTGTGATGGCTTCTGTCATGATTGGCTTACGAATAGGTATTCCTGCTCCTATTTCGGAGTATACCCTGTGAAACATCTGAAGGGCTTCTCCGCCAAATCTTGATCGATCGTGCCGCGTGGCTTCTGTCTGAATCGATGCGGGTCATCATGGCAATCCTAGTCGTAACAGACCCAGCTCCAAGGATTGAACATCTGAGCAGAGCAATCCAGTCGTGAGAGCTTGCAGATGAGGTTGGAGGAACGAACGAAAGTGGCCGCCACAGTAGCAACATATTGAGAACAGTACTGCTGACGGTCTGAAACGCACAAGCGACACCACACACATTTGGACAGTGAGACGGAATGCAGGAGGCCCAAGACATTGGCGACTGTGCGCGCTCCTGCAACGACATCTGGGAATCATTGATGACGGCATTGCGAAGACACTCGACAACCACATGGAGTGCAGAGCGGTGGCCAAGCGTTGTATTTGAGTGCTTGGCACTCTCCCTCGAAGCACGGTGGTCTACCATGCTCGATCGGCAAAGAGTGCTCGCAACCTATCGCGACGGACTCCGGGCAGGCGCTGGCCGTTTCTCCAGCGAGCCTCCCAAGGCCGCCTTAGACTTGGCGACCTCGCATGCCCTGGAGGGTTCCGAAGGGGCCGAGGCAGAGGATCGACACGACAAAGAAAAGGTTCAGACGACAGCAATGTCTGGATACCCTGGGACCCCCCTGGGACTCCTCTTGGCTGTGCGCAAGAGTGACCCCAAGCAAGAACGAGTGACCTTTGGTGCGCGGCATTCGGCGATCGCGGGAGACTCCTGAGGGCCCGCGCCAGAGGTCACTCTGGCGAAGGGCCGTTCGGTCATTCTTACGCGTAGCCGATATCTTCCCACCCAACATGATCCTCCGACGGCCCCGCGGCCCGGCCAAGGAAAGGATGGACTGCCGATCCACTCTCCGGAACACCCTGTTCCAAGGCCAGGGCAACATGCTACGGGGATGAGGCTCGGCCGAACCAATCTGCCTTAACCCCGATACCCTCCAGAGATACGCGGGCATCCGGTATCCGGTTGCCAATATCTACGTGTCCTGAATTTGTGCCATCTGGCAATTGCAGCGAGCGAGACGTACAGAAGATGCATATCGGGAGCGAAGAACGAAAGATGTACTGACCGCATCTTCGGGCACAAAGCCATCTGGACAACGACAAACACGACAAATAATACCTGCCCTGAAATTCGATGCCGTGAAAAAGTACGACGTAGTGAAAATTCACAACCGGAGCTCCCGACCCAATGTTTGTGCGGACTCTCTCGGGCCAGATCTCTCTACCAGGGCCCCTGGGGCTCGAAGAGGAGACAGAACGCCCGTCGAGTATGCCTCAGGACGCCCCTGTGTCGGGGCGCGCCCCCGCTGGAGATGCATCCTCCCCTGCGTGGAAAGAGACGCCCGAACCTGCGATGCCATGTCTTCTGCGATGCGGGGCACCTGGAGCTCTCGACCATGTCCCCTGGGCCCTTTGAGCAAGGCTTCCCGCCGTGTGCTCAAGCTGAGCGCGCTCGGGAGAGGAGGGAGGGGCAGGAAGATCCATCGGAGACGCAAGCAGGCCCGAACACGGCCGCTCGTGCACGAGATGGTAGGAGCCGAGCCGGGCATGCCCGTGCACACAAGCACTGCAGCACCCGTGCGTCCCAAACACATATGCAAACATGTGCGTGCATGACAGTGGGCGTACATGCTCCACGCGCATGCACAAAACTAGTGCGCACAATCATGCCCTGAGCAGGCAGAGGGCGACACCATAAACACGTGTGCACGACACATGAAAGCGAAACGGCGATGACGACAGACAGTGGAAGACATGCTCGCTCCTTCGAGCTTGTGCACTTCGTTACCAAAGAGCGAACATGGCCAGGCTGTTCTGCGGTGTGTCGCCCCAGTTTCCCTAGGCAAACAACGATCTGACGACTCTCACGTATATTCTTCAACTAGTTTGGCTTCACAAAATGAAGCGGGCCAGGTGCAAAATACTTTCCGCCCGTGACGACCCCACTACTTCCCACGAGGCTTCCTGCAGATCCCCCGCAGTCCCAAAAGCACGGTTGCAAGGTGGGCCGCAATCCACCGAACGAAAAGGTGATAACGGCAAAGCCTGGTGATAGCGGCACAGCTGTCAGAACATATGCTCCTTTCCTAATGTAAGCTGAACGAAACGCGAACGTGGAGAGCAACCGACCGCCACAATTCTGAGAAAGTGAATGAGGAAGGGATCATACCACACCCCATGACATATTTACAACATCAGCTCATTGAATCCTCTCCTCCTCGTGGTTACCAATATGTAGTGCTGGCGGGTGTTTCTCGCTTCGCTTGCAATCCAGATGCCTGTCCAGAGGGACTTTCCAGAGGGACTGCACTCACATGATCGTGCAACAAGTGGTAACACACGGTGCAGCACACGTGGCCATTTCCACTGTAGTCTAGTCTGTGTCGTCAGCGATTGCTGCTGTTGTTGCAAACTCAAAGTCGCTTGTGGCTGGACACATGTGCGGGTCTGTCGACCATCAACTATGGCTGCTGTCGCAGCTGCTGCGGCTGTTGCTCTCTCTCTGATTCCTGCATCTGAGGCCGCGGGTGGAGCAGACGGAGCAGGAGGAGGAGGGTGGGGCGGAGGGGAGGGGCCGGGGAACTGAGGGCTCAGGTTGGGCCTGCCTCCTTCGAGGCAGGTCTGGGAAAGAGGGGATCAGCAGAGAGGGGCCCTCGAGCGAGCGAGGGGCCGCGGAGGGTCGACGGTCGACCGCCAGGCAAAGCACGATGGGCCCGCGGGGGCCGAGGGAGGGGTCGGGAGCGAGGGAGGGGGAAAGAGGGAGGGGGAAGAGGAAGATGAAGGAGAAGGAGGCGGAGGGGGGGGGACAGGGGGAAGGAGGAGGGAGGAAGGCGAAGAGAGAACGCGAGGAAGGAAAAGAGAAGCACGGGAAAGAGAGAGAGAGTGAACGAGAGATAGAGAGAGAGAGAGCGAGTTTGAAACATACCAATGCCCCCACTCACCTCTCCGCTACCCAAAACAAACAGACAACGATCCTTATCATAATATGCGTGTACCTGATCTTTGATAAACTTACCCAAATCTCATGAGGACGGCGTGCATAGAGAGGCCAACACGCTGCGGCCAGCCTCGTAACGCGACAGGCTACTATCTAGTACACCTATGCGAACAAGTTGCGGACGGGTTCATCAACGCACAAATTCCTAGGCCGCTCAGACGCAAGCGACCGCAGCTGCACCTGATGCCATCAATACGCACAATAACAGCGCCAGCGAGGCAAGCGCATACGCTGGACACACATGGCATCCATACTCTGATATGGCAACCAACTCGAAACCTAGCCGCTGCTCCTTCTGCTCCTAGGCTCTTCAGGACGATCCTTCCATCGCTGGGACTGTAAACATTTAGACAGGAGCGAGCTCTGTGCGTATGTGTGGGTATGGAGTCCTGCAAGTTTTGCTAAGGTCGCTCCATGTCTGTTATCTCGACAATTCGTCTGGGAATCTCTTCTGGTCTGGCCAGAGATGATGCACGGGGCATCAAGAGTTCCAGCTGAACGTGTGACCCCCCAAGCCCCAGACCAATAACTTGTAGCGCCGCCCGACTGCGCTTCCTCGGACAACTGTCCCAGAATGGCACGGGGCTTCAGAGCAAGACATGAAAGCACTCTGGCCGCCCACGACTGCGGTGATGGCTTCAAGATGTCCAGAAGTGGCCTCGAATTGCTGCCAGGGCCGCTGGCAGAGGGCGGAGTCCTCCAGATCGCAAACGCTGGCAGCGGCTCGGGCGCGCAACAGTTTACACGTTTCCACGGCCAGAGGCAAGCTGGTCGAGAGCGCAGCTCAGAAAACAAACGTCATCGTCCCAAACATCTCGGGCCCTCTGTTGTCGAGATTCTGAAATGCCGCCCCCCCAACAAAAGCTCGACCCCTTCCTGAGGGCGACGCAATCTTAGTCAGTCAGGAAAGCAAAGCAAAGCGGGTTGCACATCGAGCCGCATCGGCGATACATCGGCGATGCGGCGCGATCCTCCGACCCCGTCTACTCCGACCCCATCTACCCATCTAGGCGGTCTAGGAATCTATACACATCCCCCCCCTACTGGCCAGGCCCCTCCTGGGCCCCGGAGCGGTGTCTGCGCGCCCCTCGGCTTGGCCTGGGATGCACATGCACCGCTCGTGGGCCCAGGATGGGCCTGGCCACGGGGGCGGTGGATTTGCACGACTCTCGTCGCCCGATCCCGGGGAGATCGTTTCCGTCCCGCGTCTTCTTGTTGGAGGCCCCACTTCCCGAACCCGGGGGTCCAGGCGCCGAAGACGCCAGGCAAGCACGAGGATGCTGGAGCTCGAGCTTCCTGAGTGGTCGTTGCGGCGTTAGTGGTTGAGCTGGTGTGCAGCCACAGCCTGAAACATCAAAACGTGGCCTACAGTCGGGGCGTTGACCTAAGGACTCCTAAATAAGGAACGAGGCCCCTTTTTTCTCCCAGAGGTCACACGTCGATCTCCCATGGGAAACCTCATGAAAACCTGAGGCAAGCTGCAGAGCAATCAGGGAACACCGAGCCCCTCCCCAACGAAAAGGGTCCCTTCTTCGGCGCCCCGACTGTGTTCTGGAATCCCTGCACCCGAAAATCTTGCCACCTCTCGGGGACGCACCTTCTGCTTCTGCCAGCCTCCGCTGGCCCTCCGGTGCCCGCCGCCGGCGAAAACCATCGGCCCGCCTCACTTCCGCCGCCCCCCGCCGACCTCCCGCCGAGGAGGAGACGCCAGCTCCTTCGAGCCTCGGAGGCGCGGGGGACCTCTTCTGGACCGCGCCGCGTGGCCCCGAGGCTCCCGACCAACGTCTCGGAAATGCGAGGGCGCTCCCAACTTCGCGCTCTCGCGCTGCGCGAGCTGCGCGAGAGCGCGAAGCGCGAAGAACTTCGCGCCCTCGCGCCGCCTCCCAAGGGAGAAGAGCAGGGGGAGGAATCGGAGCCGAACCGCGAAGCGCGGATAACTTCGCGCCCTCGAGGGCGCCCTTGGAGTGCCACATGGTGGTTGTCTGGGCCAGGGTCCTGTGTCGACCGCCTGCAAGGACGGGCCAGCCACCGAGCAGACTGCGGAGCGGCGGTTCGGCCTGTTTGGGTAGCATTTCACTGCGCAGACGGACAGCAGTAAACGCCACGTCGTTCGTTCCCTAACAAAAAGCCCTTGGCCCAGTGGGCAGGAGTGCCGACGCTTCTTGCGCCGGGGGCCTTCGGCTCGTCGACGCAGATGGTCAAGGCACCTGCGCGCCCGTCGTTCCCGATCCAGACGTGCCAGCGGCCTGTTGCAGGAGGAGGGCGAGGAAGGGGGGAGAGGAGGAGAAGGAGGAGGAGGAGGAGGAAAAGGAGGAGGAGGAGGAGAAGGAGGAGGAGGAGGAGGGGGAATGGGGAGGGAAGGTGAGAAGGAGGAGGATGATGATTATTTAGATCTTTCAGCGATCAATTTTTCATGGGCCTCTGGGAGCCTCCTGTGGCCTCCAGAAGTCTCCAGGATCTCCGGGACCTGTGGAATCCAGCGGAGACCCCCCCGAAGACCCCCCCAGGGGGGGGGAGGAGGAGGACGATGACCAAGACCTCCGACTCCGTAAGCTTTCAAGGCGAGCTTCCCCTGGAGCTCTCGACCAAATTCCCAAGATCGTGTAATCGTCGCGGGGCCGTTCTTTGACGGCCCAGAGGCCCAGACACGGCCTCCGGAGGTCCAGCCTGCGACTAACGCGCGTCGCGCGATATTTTCGCCACACCTGCATGTCTGGGATGATGACGGTGACGATGATGAGGATGATAACGATGGTGGTGATGATGATCACAGTGATAATAATGATGACGGAGATGAGGAAGAGGAAGAGGATGATGACGAGGATGATGATGAGGATGTGTATGAGTTAGGCAAGGACGATGAGGATGACGAGGATGACGATGACGACGATGATGATGCTGCTGATGATGACGATGATGATGATGATGATGATGATGCTGATAATGATGATGCTGATGATGCTGCTGCTGCTGATTCTGATGATTGTGATGTTGCTGATGCTGCTGCTGATGATGATGCTGCTGATGATGATGCTACTGCTGTTCATGCTGCTGCTGATGAGGATTATGCTGCTGCTGCTGATGATGCTGCTGCTGATGATGCTGATGAGGATGATGATCATGATCATGATCATGATCATGATCATGATGATGATGATGATGATGATGATGATGATGATGATGATGATGCTGAAACTGCTGATGATGAGCAGGACGAGAAGGAGGATGATGGTGATGAGGATGATGATGAGGAGAAGGGTGAGGTACATGAGGAGGAAAGGAAAGCTGAGGATGCAGAAGAGGAGGCGGTTGAGGAGGAGGAGAAGGAGAAGGAGAAGGAGGAGGAGAAGGAGGAGGAGGAGGACGAGGAAGAGGAAGAGGAGGACGAGAAGGACGCGGAGCAGGAGAAGGGCGCGGAGGAGAAGAGAACGGGGGATTCTGGAGCCCCTCGGGGTTCCAGGGCGCGCGCGCGAGGCTCTCACACTGAGTTCGCGCGTGCGTCTTTCAGTGGTGTGCGTATTCTGTGGCGTCCTCCACTCCTTCCGCCCCCCCTTCTCTTCCTCCTCCTCCTCCTCCTTCTCTCTCTCTCTCTCTCTCTCTCCCCCCCCAAACAAGCGAGAGAAACACCAAACATTAGGTTGTTCCTTTTTTTTGGGGGGGGGGGGGGGGGGGGGGGTCGGCGGCGAAAAAAAAAGGAATGCGACGTGGCCTCATCTGCCCTCCCCCCTAGGAGGATTCCTGTCGAACGCCCCCACGAGGAGGATTCACAGTGAAATCCCCTGCAGAAGGATTCCAATCGAAACCCTCCACTTAACCATTCCTACTGAAATCCTCCACATATGGATTCCTATTGAAATCACCTCGCGCGCGCGTCCTTTCAGTGGTGTGCGTACTCTGTGGCGTCCTCCCCCTCTCCTCCTCCTCCTCCTCCTCCTCCTCCTCCTCCTCCTCCTTTTTTTCTCTCTCACCCCCCTCAAAAGAGGAACACACAAGCACAGTTTGTCTTTTTTGCGGGGGGGGGGGGGCGACAAACAAAAAATGCGACGTGGCCTCATCTGCCCTCGCCCCTAGAAGGATTCCTGTTGAACGCCCTCACAAGGAGGATTCAGAATGAAATTTTCTACAGAAGGATTCCGATCGAACCCCTCCACTGAATGATTCCTACTACAATCCTCCACATATGGATTTCTATTGAAACGACCCGCAGAATGATTGATATTGAGATGCTTCGAAAGAAAGAACCCCCCGTTGGCATTGCATTGGCATTGGTTTGGCAATGGTTTGGCATCGCACTGGCATTGCGTTGGCAGTGCGTTGCTAGCGTGCTTGCATTTCGCAAGCATTGTGCTGGCGAATCCGAACGGAACCCTCCACAGAAGGACTCCGATCGAAACCTTCTACACGAAGGACTCCTACTGAAACCCTTTACAAAGCGGTTCATATTGACACCCTCCACAGAGGGATTCCATGCGAACCCCTCCACATAAGGTTTCCTGTTGAAATTTACCACAAAGGATTTCCCCCATTGGCAGTGCATTGGCATTGGGTCGGGATCGCTGTGGCATTGGTGTGGCATTGCGTTGGCACTGCGTTGGCATTGCGCTGGGATTGCGCTGGCGAGTTCCAACACCTCCCTTCGCATAATGATTCCTGTTGACCCCCCACAAGAAAGACTCCGATTGAAACATCCCGCAAGAAGGCTTCACATTGAACCCACTCACGGAAGGATTCCATGCGAAGCCCTCCATCGAAGCATTCTTCTTGAACCCGACCACAGACGATTTCCCCCATTGGCATTGCATCGGCATTGAATTGGGATCGCTGTGGCATTGGTTTAGCATTGCGTTGGTATTGCGTTGGCGTTGCGCTGGCGAGTTCTAATGGCTCCCCCCACAGAAGTACTCCTATGATAACCTTGCACAAGAAGGGATCCTTTTGAAAGCCCCCACATAAATGATTCAAAGTGGCCCCCTACAGAAAGATTCCAATCGAAACCTTCCACGGGGGGATTCCTATCGAAATCCTCCGGAGAAGGAATCGCAACCAAATCGTTCACATAAGGATTCCTAGTGATCTGTTGGAAGACGAGAATCCCGCCATCGGCATTGGTTTGGCATTGGCTTGGCATCGCATTGGCATTGCGTTGGCATTGCGATGGCAGTGCGTTAGCAGTGCGTTGGCATTGCGTTGGCATTGAGCTGGCGAGTCCTACGTAAACACTTCGCAGAAGGATTCCGATTGAACACCCCCGCAAAAAGGATGCCTATCGAATCCCCCCCACAAAAAGGATTCACATTGAAATCCTCAACAGACGGGTTCCATGCGAAACCCTCCATAGAAGGCTTCCTATTGAAATCCCCCGAAGAAGGGTTCTTGGAAGGATTGCTATTGAAATCTACCGCAAACAATTCCCCCCATTGGCATTGCATTGGCATTGGTTGGCATTGCATTGGCATTGCTTCGGCATTGCGCTGGCGAGTTCGAATGGCTCCCACCACCGAAGGATTCCTTACCTTCCACAAGAAGGGATCCTTTTGAAAGCCACCCACATAAAAGATTCATACTGAACCCCCCAACGGAAGGATTCCAATCGAAACCCTCCACAAGTAGGATTCCTTTTGTAATCTACCACAAAGGATACCCCCCGTTGGCATTGCATTGGCATTTAATTGGGATCGCCTTGGCATTGGTTTGGCATTGCGATGGCAAAGCTTTGGCATTGCGTTGGCATTGCGCTGGTGAGTCCTAATGTCTCCCTCCGCAGACGGACGCTTACTGAAACCCTCCACAAGAACGGTTCCGATTGAATCCTCCCACATGAAGAATTCCGAGTGAAACCCTCCTGAGGATCCCTATCGAAACCCTACACATAAGCATTGCTACTGAAATCCTCCGAAGAAGGATTCGTAATGACATCATCCACAAAGTATTCTTATTGAAATCTACCAAACGAAAGGATTCCCCCATTGGCATTGCATTGGCATTAGTGTTGGTTGGGAATGGATTTGTATCGCATCGGCATGTATTGGCCTGGTGCAGGAGGTAGACAAAGAGAGAGAGAGAGATAGAGAGAGAAAGAGAGACAAAGAGAGAGAGAGAGATAACACTAGAGAACGATACAACGAGAAACTATTAGTATGAGGGGATCACGGCGAAAAGAAAAATACCAAAACACAATCAAATTTTGAGGGTGAAAAAGCGTTTCGCTCGATAAACACCGTATGACAACGACGAGGGGCTCCACAATCCCCCGGCCTCGAGAACGAAGGAGAAATAAGAGGAGGAAGAGTCGGATACGGAGAAAGGAGAAAGACGCGGAGGAGGAGAATGATGTGGAAGAGGAGGAGGAGCAGCAGCAGCAGGAGGATGAGGAGGAAGAGGAGGAGGAGGATGAGAAGGAGGAGGAGGAGGAGGAGGAGGAGGAGGAGGAGGAGGAGGAGGAGCGGCCTGCGGTCTCCTTGAACTCCCCCGCCTCGTCAGCGAGGCTGAAGTCCTCGGCGCCGCGTCCAGTGAGGCCGTCGGGCCCAAGCCCGGCTTTGGAAAAAGGGGTGATCTGGCTGTGGCCTTTAGCAGCTCAAGGGGGAGGGACGAGGAGGATAACGCACCTCCCCTCCCCTACCTCCTCCTCCCTCCTCGCTCCCCCATCCCCCCTCCTCCCCGCCTGCTCCTCCTCCTCCTCCTCCTCCTCCTCCTCCTCCTCCTCCTCTCCTTCTCCTCCTCCTCCTCCTGCTCCTCCTCCTGCTCCTCCTCATACTCCTCCTCCTCCTCCTCTCCTTCTCTCCTTCTCATTCTCCTTCTCCTTCTCCTTCTCCTTCTCTTTCTCCTCCTCCCTCCCTCCCTCCACGATCCTCCCTCCTCCCTCCTCCCTGTTCCCCCCTCACTCCTCCCCCTGCCCCATCCCCCCTCCTCCTCCCTGCTTCCTCCTCCCTCCTCCCTCCTCCGTCCCTCCCTCTCTCCTCCTCCCCCTCCTCCTCCTCCTCCTCCTCCTCCTCCTCCTCCTCCTCCTCCTCTTCTCCTGCTCCTCCTGCTCCTCCCCTTCCTCCTCCTCCTCCTCCTCCTCCTCCTCCTCCTCCTCCCTCTCCTCCTCCTGCGCCCGTATAATAAGGCTGCGCGGTAAAGATGCAAGGGCCTTGTAGGGCCACGTTCATTTTTTTCGAGCGAGGTTGGCCAGCGAAAGCGGCCAGGGTGGACCGAGGAGGCAAGGATGCAAGGGTACCCTTGGGAAGGTTGTCCACCCTCACTATGCGGGTTGACTGTACGCCGCGCCGCCGCGCGCGTGGCCGCAACGCCGAATAATGCGCGTGTGTGCGCGCGTGCGTGTATGTCTGGAGGCCCAAGTCGCCCGAGGCATGTAAATCTGGCCTGGCGGTACGCGCTCTCCCGCTCGACTGCCTACGGTTCACACGTATCATATGGATGCGCGATAGGCATGCAAGGCCCTCGTAGGGCCACGTTCGCGTTTTTCGAGCGAGGTTGGCCAGCGAAAGCGGCCACGGATGGACCGAGGAGGCAAGGATGCAAGGATACCCTTGGGAATGTTGCCCACCCTCACTATGCGGGTTGACTGCCTACGCCGCGCCGCCGCGCGCGTGGCCGCAACGCCAAACACTGCGCGCGTGTGCGCGCGTGTGTGTGTGTGTGTGTGTGTGTGTGTGTGTGTGTGTGTGTCTGGAGGCCCCAGGCATCCTCGGAGAACCGCCCAGACCCCAAAGCCGTGCGGCGACCCCGAATCCCCAGACCCCCCTGAAATCCCGCGCTGCGGAATCTTGCAGCATCGCAGCAACAAAAAAATATCCTGGCGAAGGACCCCACCATATGCAGTTGTGAGTATCGCAATTGTGAGTATCTTCTTCGGTGGCGCTCCCTATGGGGCCACGAACCGCATGAGGGGTGTGCCGAAATGTGGCGGGGTACACAACGCAAAGGAACACGATAGATCTGATTACGAGAGAAAGAACGCGGGTGAGTCAGAACGCGAGGGAATCTGAGTATGAATGGGTCTGCGCGCGAGTGAATATATTTGCATGAATGCGATCATGGAACCGCCTAGTGTAAGTGTCGAGCATGCCTGTCCGAACACACGTGACACTGGGCGTGGCCGCCGCAGGCAGCTTCCGCGGGAACCCCGACGGCAGCGTCCGCACGTCGCGACGCCCATGTCGGCGCGCCTCTTGCGAGGATCGCGCCCGCTTTCGGCTCTTCTTTTCCTTCCTCTTTGCCCGCGCACTCCAAAATCCAAGGCTGCGGGCGCAGCGCAGCGCGGAGTCCCCGCGACGCGCGCTGGTCGCCCCGGGCGGGGTCCCAGCGACGCGCGCGGGTCGTCCGCTGCGCGAAGCAGAGAGAGCTGACTAGCTAACTGGCTGGCTGATAGCGGGCAAGTCTCTGACCGCTGGGCAGAGCGACGACGGGCGAACGAGGCGCCGGGCCCCCCGCAGCACGGAGTTCCCGCGACGCGCGCTGGTCGCCCCGAGAGGGTCCCAGCGACGCGCGCGGGTCGTCCGCGGCGCGAGGCCAAACAATTAGTCGGGCAGTCGAGAGAAGGCGCGGCTCGGGGGAGACGCTCCTCAGGTCAGGCCTCGCGGATGAACTCGGTGAAGCCGAGCTCCCTGGCGAGGGCCGTCGCTTCCCTCCTGCGCCGCTTCGTGCGCGCCGCAAACTGCTCCAGCTGCTTCCGCAAGCCCTGCGGCGGCCCTGCCAGGAAGAACTCGATGCGCGGCGCCCGCATGAGCAGGAGGTCCTCGTGGCGCGTGGCGCGCGAGAGCAGCACGTAGAGCTCCAGCCACCAGTCGTCGTCCTCCTTCTTGCCGTTCCCTACCTCGTGGCGGCCGCAATCCAGGATCACGCCTGGGCGACGTCGACCGAGGGAGCAGCGCGCCGGGCAGCCGACGGCCCAGGGCGAGAGTCCACAGGACCGAGAGATGGTCTGGCCGCGGACTGCTCGCGCCCCGGAGGTCTGGCCGCCCCCGGAGCGCCGTTCCCCCGCCCCGTCGCCTTCGCGCATGGTGCGCCCCTGGCACGCCACCGTGGTGATGACCCTGCCGTGCGAGAAATGCGGGGGGTGTGCCGAAATGGGTGGGGGTGACGCATGCGGGCGGCGGCACTGGGGCCTTCGGTGGAGCTCCCTATGGAGCCACGAAACGTGTGAGGGGTGTGCCGAAATGGGTGTGGGGACGCATGCGGCCGCGGGCACTGGGGCCTTCGGTGGAGCTCCCTATGGAGCCACGAAACGTGTGAGGGGTGTGCCGAAATGGGTGTGGGGGACGCATGCGGCCGCGGGCACTGGGGCCTTCGGTGGAGCTCCCTATGGAGCCACGAAACGTGTGAGGGGTGTGCCGAAATGGGTGTGGGGGACGCATGCGGCCGCGGGCACTGGGGCCTTCGGTGGAGCTCCCTATGGAGCCACGAAACGTGTGAGGGGTGTGCCGAAATGGGTGTGCACGGGCACTGGGGCCTTCGCTCCCTATGTGAGGGGTGTGCCGAAATGGGTGTGGGGGACGCATGCGGCCGCGGGCACTGGGGCCTTCGGTGGAGCTCCCTATGGAGCCACGAAACGTGTGAGGGGTGTGCCGAAATGGGTGTGGGGGACGCATGCGGCCGCGGGCACTGGGGCCTTCGGTGGAGCTCCCTATGGAGCCACGAAACGTGTGAGGGGTGTGCCGAAATGGGTGTGGGGGACGCATGCGGCCGCGGGCACTGGGGCCTTCGGTGGAGCTCCCTATGGAGCCACGAAACGTGTGAGGGGTGTGCCGAAATGGGTGTGGGGGACGCATGCGGCCGCGGGCACTGGGGCCTTCGGTGGAGCTCCCTATGGAGCCACGAAACGTGTGAGGGGTGTGCCGAAATGGGTGTGGGGGACGCATGCGGCCGCGGGCACTGGGGCCTTCGGTGGAGCTCCCTATGGAGCCACGAAACGTGTGAGGGGTGTGCCGAAATGGGTGTGGGGGACGCATGCGGCCGCGGGCACTGGGGCCTTCGGTGGAGCTCCCTATGGAGCCACGAAACGTGTGAGGGGTGTGCCGAAATGGGTGTGGGGGACGCATGCGGCCGCGGGGAGGCAGCGGGAGGAAGGAAGGAGGGAGAACGCGGGGCACCGTCTCTTCAAAACGAGGACCCAACACCACAGGATGGTTGGGAAAAAAACGCGACCGGAGCCCCCAAAAAATCCCACCGTGGCGCGCGCCATCCCTCGAGCCGGGTCGATCCGCGGAGGCCCTGGGGCGCGAGGCTGGGCGAAGACGCCGGGCGTGGAGAAACTGCAGAGCCAGGATCTCGGGGTGAACACGCGATGCGGTCGCCGCACCCTGTGGGGGCCCCTGGAGCCTTGCGCCCAGGCGGGCGGAGCCTCGCGGCCGGGCCTCCGCCCCGCGCGGCGGCGCCGCGATGGGGCGCGGACGCGGCCCCGTGCGGGGGGCAGAGGCCTCCTCTGCAGCGCCTGTGCTCTCCGGGGGGCCGAGGAGGACGGGGGCGGGCCCAGCCCGGATGGGGCAGCTCTGGCAGCGTGCGCCAGGCGGCAGCACGTTGCCTCGGCGCAGGGAATGCCGGTGCCGGGCGGGCTAAACTTTTGGCTTTCTCCCGTGCCGTTTCCTTTCTTTGTGTGCACTCCTGCCAGGTTTCTTACCTCCGATACAAAGCTGGGGCGCGCGCAGCTGTCGTCGGACAGCAGGCCCGGGACGCCGCAACCGAAACGCGGCCAACTGTTTTGCGGTGCTCCGACCTCGTGTGGCCATGGATGCGATGCCAATCTGGCGCCTGAATCACCGCCCCGAGCATGTTTAGCGATATCTCTTCGACACCATGTGCCAACGATCGGGCCCATCCAACCGTTTGATGAGCCAGCCGATGCAGGCAGGAGGAACCGGCGGTCCGACTCGTTACCGCTGTCATTGCTGCCGCCATCGCTGGTACTGCTGCTGTCAGAGCGGTGGCAACAATGGTGGCAGATGATGGTTGTGATCGCCGCCGCCGTCGCGTTCCACCGTAGACTTACTGTATCGTCAGCTGTCGTTGCCAACCCTCTTTAGTATTGCATGATCGCCAAAGGGGTGATTCAGCTAGCTTCTAAGACTGATGCCAAGGAAGAAATGATAGGCATGAGCTTCAACCTTCCTTCTGACGCCGCTGCCATAGACGGAACTTGGTACGAATCGTAATGTATGGGCAAACATCTTCGACTATAACGACCAGCACCACGGGGGTCAAACTGCACTCATGTAACTCATCGATGCGTATTCTGTGCTGCCGCTATCGGAATGGAAGCTTCAGCGCTCCTGTGGATACATCTCCAGCGTCACGTTCACGGACTTGCAGAGCTTTTGATTTCGCCGTGGATGTGCAGCACTTGCCAAAAAACGAGCCAGAAGAAGTTGTCCGAGAGAAGTCGATCCGAATGCAAAGCCAACGGGCTCAAGGGGCAAGTTGCAAACCCGACGGCCTCCAACAATCACGCGAGTCTTGGTCGCGGATCTGTGGACGCCTTGAGGTGCTACCCATAGTGTCCCGCCCATCAGGTACCTTGCGCTAACGGGGACTGCTAGGCTCCGTAGGGTGCCTGCCACGGAGTCCGATGGGGTTCGCGCCATGGGGTCCTCTGCGCCTGCGAGAAATCTTGGGGGCCATCATGTCCCGTCGGGAGGGTTAGGCCCAATGGTCCTGTTCCTTTCACCAGCGGGAACGTTTGGGTGTCTGAAATCCTGCCCATCGGGTCTCGGCCAGAAGGTGCCCTTGCGCCGGCGGGGGATGTGGGGTGCCACATAACCCCCCCGCCCACAAGGTCCCGTAAGGGGGTTGGGGGGATCTCGTCCAGCAGGTCCCTTGCACAGACGGGGCAGTGTGGGTGCCATAAGGTCACGCCCATAGGGCCCTGTAGACTGCACCACATCGCTTGCATGGGTTTGCGCTGCTTTGCACGAGGTTTGCGTGGTCTTGCGCTGCTTTTCTTCGCACGGCTTTGCCTGTTGTCGCTTTGCGTTGCACTGCCTTGCGCAATCTGGGAATGCAACCAGTGCAAAGTAATGCAAAACGTTGCAGGCCAACGCAATATAATAAAACGCAAAGTGATGCATACTCATGCAAAGCAACTACGGCGTACAACATACGGCCAAAAACGACCTCTGGCAACACGGGCGCAAACTAATTATGGTGCAATCCATGGGCGCACATGATGGCCACGAGCAGTCCGCCGCAACCTACGAGCACAACCCATGCCACAGCACATCCGAGCAAGCTTTGGTCACGGCAAGTTCTCGTGAACCTCTACGCAGTACCCTAGAAGACATGCGAGAACCCCCAAGTGCAAACACTGATTGATGAGAAACCATTGCAAACCATACGGCGCACGAAATTTCGCGCCACCCAGGGCGCAACCCACGGGTGCAGCCTGTAAACTCCACGGCATGCATGACCCCCCTATGGCCTTATGGGCGCAACGTATGGCACCGAAAAGTCGGCGGCACCCATAGCGCAGCCCATGGCCGCAACCCATGGGCGTAACCGGTGGGTGGCACCCTCTAATTGCCCAGTCACTTCAGGCCGAAATAGGAATTTCTAAGTGCACCAACTTCTGGTGGAACATTACACCATGCACATGCAGATCGCACGACACATACGGCACCTCACAGATCGCACCACAAGCAGATCGTACCGCATGGACTGCATCACGAAACGTCCAACAATTCACCTGTTAGGGCCCATGCCAGAATCAATGCTGACGCACTATGCCCTCCGTGCGTCCAAGGCCTGGCGCAACCGCCGGACCCGGCACAGGCCCCAAGGCGGGCCGCCCGGGCGGGCTCCCCTGAATCGCGTCGGCCCCCCCCGTTCCTCCCTGGACGTCGGCCCCCCTGAATCGCGTCGACCCCCGCTCTCGGCCTCCCACGACGTAGGGGTGCCTGGACGTCCTGGCGCCACAGAACATTGCGACCGCTGGGCTCTCCTCGATCCCGCCTCGGCGGGGCCCCTGAATCGCGCCGGCCCCCGCCGTTCCGCCCCAGACATTCGCCGATCTGATTTTTCAATCCCTGGGGGTGTATTTTCGTCCCGGATCCATTTTTAATGGTCCTCAGGTCCGATACCGGGCCCTGGACGCCGAAATCCAAGGAAAACCGCCAGATTGAAGAAATCAGATCCTCAGATCTCTGGGGCCCTGGACCCCCGCTCTCGGCCTCCCACGGCGTGGGGGTGCCTGGACGTCCTGGCGCCACAGGACATTACGACCGCCGGGCTCTCGTGGATACCGCCTGATCGGGCCCTCCCGGATCGCGTCGGCCCCCGCCGTTCCCCGCCCTGGACCCCGCTCGCGGCTGCCCCCGAGACTCCCGACGTCATGCATTTTTCATAACGTGGATTCCCAGGGACCAGCTTCTCATCCCGAGGCGTTCTTTGACGGTCCCGAGGCCCGGTAGGGGCTCACTATTGGACCGAGAATAGTGAATGATACCGGAGAGAAGCCCCAATCATAGTCATTTTTGATCTTACATGGAATCCCTTTGTAATTGCTCCTTAGGTTTATGAAGTCTGCGATGGCTATGAAGGCCATGAGGGCTATAGGATTATATGGGCTATAGGGATATAGGGTTTTATGGGCTATTGGGCTATCGGGCTATACGGCAACAGGGCAATAGAACACCCTGGCCAGCCACTGAAATCGGCGACGCACCTCAACTAACCGTATGAATCCGCAAGGACCCCGACAGAGGCAAGCTCTGTTTGGTGAAGAACTCTCAGTCGTGAGTTTTTCGTAACGCGAGGGGCGTCGGGGCCACGACGTCGGGGTGCCTGGGTCGTCCTGGCGCCACGAGGCACCGCTGGCCACGGCAGCGGCGAAGGGGGCGACGAGCCGGCCCAGCGGGGGAGAGGATCGAGGGCCCCCGGGGGGGCCGACGCCGCGGAAGAAGTGTCGTCGGCCGCGGGGCTGCTCCCTGCAGAGGCCTCCCAGATTGGGGCCCGAGCAGACTTAAGTCGCATCAGCATTAATTTTTGGCGCTCCACGCGGATGTCTTGCATCTGCGCTGGACCTCCCTCCCTGGCGCGCGGAGCGCGACAAAGGGGCGGCGCTGGAGGCGCCGCTGGGGGGGCCCAGCGCGGATCCCAAGAAATCCGCGCGGAGCGCCAGAAGTTTATGTTTATGTCGTTCTTCCTTCTTCGATCCGGAGAAACATAATAATACTTTGCAGAAAGAACAGAATTATCCTGGCGACGTACCCAACCCCTGCGCAATGCTGGGCAAGAGCAGTTTAGGACACTTTATAAGGGGGTGGTAAGGTGGCGGGGCCTTCAATGGGGCTGAAATTCAGCACGCCTCCCGCGCACTTCGCGCCCCATCATGGACCCCCAAGTGCCAGCAGTTGACCTGCGGAAGCGGCAGCAATGGGACGCAGGGGTGCAACGGGAAGAGGGGTGGGGAGTTGGAGGGAAAGCATCGGCATGTTACCTCAGGCTCGCGTTCTGGCAGCAGCAATAAGATATAGCAGCAGGGAAAAAAGGCTAGAGGGAAGGGGGCGACGACGAGAGAAGGGCAGCGGAAGCAGGGGGACAAGGTTTCGAGGTACGCCAGCAAACAGGCGCAGTCAATGCAATAAATCCGCAAGGCCGAGCTGCTATGCCAGCAGCTGGGCCTCTTTCCGGCACTTTTCAATGCGGGAGCTAAAAACACGCAGGCGCGCCCCGAGGTCCGCGGGCGGCCCGCGAGAAAGGAACTGCAGCCCCGGGTCCCCCCAGCAAGCCTCGAAAGTAGCGACAGTTTCACAGATCGCAGCCCCCCAGGGATGGCGAGGTCTCATTTGAATCTGCGTAGGACGTCACTGTGCTGGACCCCCCCAGCGAGCCTCGAAAGTGGCGACAGTTTCACAGATATCAGCCCCCAAGGCATGGCGAGATCCCGTTTGAATCTGCCGCAATTGCCAACTATGCTGGCACCCCAACAGGCCTCGAAAGTGGCGGGAATTTCACAGATCGCAGGCCCCCGGGGATGGCGAGGTCCCAATTGAATCTGCGTAGGACGTCACTGTGCTGGACCCGCCAGCACGCCTAGAAAGTGGCGACAGTTTCACAGACAGCAGCCCCCCATGGAGGGCGAGGTCCCAATTGAACCTGCGTAGGACGTCGCTGTGCTGGACCCCCCAGCAGGCCTCGCAAGTGGCGACAATTTCATAGGTCGCAGCCCCCCAGGAATGGCGAAGTCCCATTTGAATCTGCGTAGGACGTCACTGTGCTGGACCCCCAGTAGGCGTCGAAAGTGGCGACGGTTTCACAGATCGCACCCCCCCAGGGACGGCGAGGTCCCATTTGAACCTGCGTAGGACGTCACTGTGCTGGACCCCCCAGCAGGCCTCGAAAGTGGCGGCAGTTTCACAGATAGCATCCCCCCAGGGACGGCGAGGTCCCATTTGAGTCTGCGTAGGACGTCACTGTGCTGGACCCCCCAGCAGGCCTCGAACGTGGCGGCAGTTTCACATATGGCAGCCTCCCAGGGATGGCGAGGTCCAGTTTGAATCTGCGTAGGACGTCACTGTGCTGACCCCCCCAGCAGGCCTCGCAAGTGGCGACAGTTTCAAAGATCGCGGCCCCCCAGGGACGGCGAGGCCCCGATTTGAATCTGCGTAGGACGTCACTGTGCTGGACCCCCCGGTAGGCCTCGAAAGCGGCGACAGTTTCACAGATAGCAGCCTCCCAGGGATGGCGAGGTCCCATTTGAACCTGCGTAGGACGTCACTGTGCTGGACCCCCCAGCAGGCCTCGAAAGTGGCGGCAGTTTCACAGATAGCATCCCCCCAGGGACGGCGAGGTCCCATTTGAGTCTGCGTAGGACGTCACTGTGCTGGGCCCCCCAACAGGCTTCGAAAGTGGCGACAGTTTCACAGATCGCAGCCCCCCAGGGATGGCGAGGTCTCCTTTGAATCTGCGTAGGACGTTACTGCGCTGACCCCCCAGCAGGCCTCGCAAGTGGCGACAGTTTCACAGATCGCGGCCCCCCAGGGACGGCGAGGTCCCGATTTGGATCTGCGTAGGACGTCACTGTGCTAGAGCCCCTGGTAGGCCTCGAAAGTGGCGGCAGTTTCACAGATATCAGCTCCCCAGGGATGGCGAGGTCCCATTTGAATCTGCGTACGACGTCAATGTGCTGGACCCCCAGTGGGCCTCGAAAGTTGCGACAATTTCACAGATCGCAGCACCCTGGTATGGCGAGGGCTCAATTGAATCTGCGTAGGACGTCACTGTGCTGGACCCGCCAGCAGCCCTCGAAAGCGGCGACAGTTTCACAGATCGCAGCCTCCCAGGGATGGCGAGGTCCCATCTGAATCTGCGTAGGACTTCACTGTGCTGGACTACCCAGCAGCCTTCGACAGTGGCGACAGTTTCAGAGATCGCAGCCCCCTGCAGACACGACAGGAGGAGACAGGAGGGAGGCGGGAGGACGCGACCACAGTCCTTTATTCAAAGCGAATACCCAACTAAGGAGGGTTGGGAATACTTACCCTGTGACGTACCCAACCCTTTCTGTACATGTGCTGATTATACCCATGACCACTCAATGCGGACTGGCATTCTGAAGGACCCGCAGTGCGCAATAAGGGCACCCAACAATGATTTCAGAAGAGCGCAGCAAGAAGAGGAACGGCAAATTTACAACATTGAAACAAAAGACCCTGAAGTAATTCGTGCCGTATGGCGTACCTCCGCTGGGCCTCCCAGGAGCCCACGAAAGTGGCGACAATTGCGCAGATCGCAAGTCCCCCAGGGGGCGGCGAGGTCCCGAAGTGGTCCGCGTATGGCGTACCTCCGCTGGGCCTCCCAAGAGCCCACGAAAGTGGCGACAATTGCGCAGATCGCAAGCCCCCCAAGGGGCGGCGAGGTCCCGAGGTGGTCCGCGTATGGCGCACCTCCGCTGGGCCTCCCAGGAGCCCACCGAAGTGGCGACAATTGCGCAGATCGCAAGCCTCCCAGGGGGCGGCGAGGTCCCGAAGTGGTCCGCGTATGGCGTACCTCCTCTGGGCCTCCCAGGAGCCCACGAAAGTGGCGAGAATGGCGCAGATCGCAAGCCCCCCAGGGGGCGGCGAGGTCCCAAGGTGGTCTGCGTATGGCGTACCTCCGCTGTGCCTCCCAGGAGCCCACAAACGTGGCGACAATTGCGCAGATCGCAAGTCCCCCAGGGGGCGGCGAGGTCACGAGGTGGTCGGCGTATGGCGTACCTCCGCTGGGCCTCCCAGGAGCCCACGAAAGTGGCGACAATTGCGCAGATCGCAAGCCCCCCAAGGGGCGGCGAGGTCCCGAGGTGGTCCGCGTGTGGCGTACCTCCGCTGGGCCTCCCAGGAGCCCACGAACGTGGCGACTGTTACGCAAATCCAAAGCCCCCCAAGGAGCGGCGAGGTCCCGAGGTGGTCCGCGTATGGCGTACCTCCGCTGGGCCTCCCAGGAGCCCACGAAAGTGGCGACAATGGCGCAGATCGCAAGCCCCCCAGGGGGCGGCGAGGACCCAAGGTGGTCCGCGTATGGCGTACCTCCGCTGTGCCTCCCAGGAGCCCACGAACGTGGCGACGTTGCGCAATCGCAAGCCCCCCAGGGGGCGGCGAGGTCCCGAGGTGGTCCGCGTATGGCGTACCTCCGCTGGGCCTCCCAGGAGCCCACGAAAGTGGCGAACTGCGCAGATCGCAAGCCCCCCAGGGGCGGCGAGGTCCCGAGGTGGTCCGCGTATGGCGTACCTCCGCTGGGCCTCCCAGGAGCCCACGAAAGTGGCGACTGGCGCAAATCCCAGCGAGGTCCCGAGGTGGTCCGCGTATGGCGTACCTCCGCTGGGCCTCCCAGGAGCCCACGAAAGTGGCGACAAGCGCAGATCGCAAGCCCCCCAGGGGGCGGCGAGGACCCAAGGTGGTCCGCGTATGGCGTACCTCCGCTGTGCCTCCCAGGAGCCCACGAACGTGGCGACTGTTACGCAAATCCAAAGCCCCCACAGGAGCGGCGAGGTCCCGAGGTGGTCCGCGTATGGCGTACCTCCGCTGGGCCTCCCAGGAGCCCACGAAAGTGGCGACAATGGCGCAGATCGCAAGCCCCCCAGGGGGCGGCGAGGACCCAAGGTGGTCCGCGTATGGCGTACCTCCGCTGTGCCTCCCAGGAGCCCACGAACGTGGCGACTGTTACGCAAATCCAAAGCCCCCACAGGAGCGGCGAGGTCCCGAGGTGGTCCGCGTATGGCGTACCTCCGCTGGGCCTCCCAGGAGCCCACGAAAGTGGCGACAATGGCGCAGATCGCAAGCCCCCCAGGGGGCGGCGAGGACCCAAGGTGGTCCGCGTATGGCGTACCTCCGCTGTGCCTCCCAGGAGCCCACGAACGTGGCGACAGTTGCGCAGATCGCAAGCCCCCCAGGGGGCGACAGTTGCGCAGATCGCCGCAGCCCGACGGCACGAGAGAAGAGGAGAAGGGAACACAGGAAACAGGAGACAAGGAGGAGGGGAGGAAGGGGAGGCGGGAGGAGGGTGGAGACTACACTGCTCTATTCAAAACGAGAAGCCAACCAACACAGGAGGGTAGGGAAATATCATATTAATACGCAACGACCATCGTGCGCTCGGAATCGACCATTCACGTGTCCGGCATGACATGGCCTTGCGTGGGCGGGAACCTCCGCTTCCGACTTAGGGCATGCAGTGACACGAATCTGAGATCCTGTGCCGGGCCAGGAGCGGTAGCACGCGGCAGTTCAGAGCAGCCTGGTCTCGTCGATGGAAGCTCTCGTGGCGCCCCTCAGCTCTGGATCGCTGACCTTTGACTCCGCACGGACCTGGACTGGCAACGCCCCGCTGCGACCACCACCTCCCCCCAAAAAACAGCGCACGAGAGAGAGGCATCGCCTTTCCGGCTGGCACGTGCACGCGGTCGAAGGCGACCAGCGTTCGCAACGGCGCCCCGTGCACGCCGCCGACACCGCGCGGGGGCTCCGCGAAGAGCAGGACTACCTGGGCCCTCCCCCGGACATCAGGGCTGCCTCGAGGGAAGCGGCCGTGGTCCAATTATATTAGCCCTCTGGGCGTAGGTGGTTCAGCAAGCTGATTCTCCAATCTCTTTCACCATTGTTGGCCTCACCGCTTCAGCATATGCTTGCCTACGCCCCTCCCCCAGACAACTCCCCTGGGGCTCGGAGGCGGCCGTGGGGCCTGACCTGGATGGGCCCTGAGAAAATCGGTCAATAAAGGGGGATCAAGGCAACTCCGCTCAAACTCGGCCCCCGCCTCCCCGCGTCCATCTGGTGCGATTTCGCGGTCACCTAAGCCCGAGAAACGGCCCCCGGAGACCGAACAAAGGCAGAACACCTTGTCGAACCCCGCACCTCGAACCTGCACCCCCCCGATCCTGCTGGCGGGAGTCCATGCGTGGCCACCTCGGACCCCCAGCCGGCTCCAACCCTGGGCATCGTTTCTGCATGGGCTGGGCTTAGCAAGCCAGAAATGCCGAAACTCTCACGCCTCAACGCGCTATAGGGGGCCTGCGCCGGCGGCTTATTCCGCCGTGAAGGCTGGTAGTGGCAGAAGCCTGAAGCCGCATGCTGTCAAACTTCATTCTGGATGGGTTGGCCACCTCGAGGGGAGCTAGAGGCCTCCTAGAGATGGGGTCCTGGGGTCGGAGGATCTCGCCGCATCGCCGAGGCATCGGCGATGCGCTGGCGGCGTCGGCGATGCATCGGCGATGCCTCGCCGATGTATAGCCGAGGCGGCGCGATCCTCCGACCCCACCTACTAGGAGGGAGGCCAAGAGGGGCGGCCCTGGGCCCAGAAGCCTCGCGCCTCCGACCGCGCGAGGTGCGAGACGAGCAGCCGTCGCGAGGCTCGCGAGACCGCAGCCTCCTCCTCCTCCTCCTCCTCCTCCTCCTCCTCCTCCTCCTCCTCCTCTTCCTCCTCCTCCTCCCCCACTCCTCCTCCTCCTCCTCCTCCTCCTCCTCCCCTCCCCTCCTCCCTCCTCCCCTCCTCCTCCTCCTCCTCCTCCTCCTCCTCCTCCTCCTCCTCCTCCTCCTCCTCCTCCTCCTCCTCCTCCTCCTCCTCCTCCTCCTCCTCCTCCTCCTCCTCCTCCTCCTCCTCCTCCTCCTCCTCCTCCTCCTCCCCCTCCCCCTCCCCCTCCCCTCCTCCCCCCTCCTCCCCTTCCCCCTCCCTCCTCCTCCTCCTCCTCCTCCTCCTCCTTCTACTGCTCCTCTTGATGGTCCTCCTGATGGTCCCCTGCTGGATGGGCGAACCAGAATGCTCGACTTCAGTGGACCTGGGACCCTCATGCTGCGACGATGTCTCCCTGGGTTTCGAGTCGGTGCACGCGGGGCCAGGGTTCGGACTAACTGCAATCGCGCCCCACCGAAGCCTTCAATACCACGACGAACAGGGTAAACAGACTTTGGGCTAACACACGCCCTGAGGATCGTAGAACCATTCCCCCGCGTGCGGCCTGCGATCAGGAGCTCTTGCACAGAACGTCGCCGCGGCGGCCCCCGCAACGCGCCATGCCCAGCGAGCTGACAGCGTGTCGCTCCGCTCCGCGGGTCGTGAGGCTCGGAAGGGCCCGGGACGCTGACGCCTGGGGACTGGGACATGGACCACATGGATCTCTGGAGCGACCATGGGGGCGAACAGCGTATGGGGAGAGCCATGCAAGTATCAGGGGCGCCGATGGTCCATGCCTTCGGCGAAGTTCCCGGGCGAACACGTGCCATGCCCGCTTCTGGGCTCTTCGCCCTATTGTAGGGGCCCTGAGACACACAAACAAATACACACAGATAACAGGATTCCCAATATTTTCCTATCTTTTCTGGGTGTTTGCCTTCCCCCCTTCCCATATTTTCGCATACTTTCTGGGGGATCGAAGATTCATTGTGTCTCTGTGTTTTTTCCCTCCTGACCTATCGTCGCCTCCGAGGATACAGTCGGGGCGTTGACCTAAGGACCCCTGAATAAGGAACGAGGCCCCTTCTTTTCCATAAGTTCTACATCGATTCCCATGGAAAACCTCAGGAAAACCTGTGGCAAGCTGTAAAACAATCGTGGAACACCGCCCCGCGGAGCGGCGAGCTGGGCCAAACCAGGCCTCTGGCCACACGCGGCCCGACCGGCAAAGGGCGGAGGGCGGTGGGGCAGGAGGGGGAGCGGCACCGTGCGGCGGGGGCGAGGCCGCGGGAAGGACGCAGTCGAAACGCTGTCATAAGGAACCCCAAATAAGGAACGAGGCCGCTTTTCTCCATGAGCTGAACTTCGATGTCCCATAGGAGGCCGAGGGGAAGCCTCAGACTAACTGCAAACCAAGCAAGGAACACAGAGCCCCTCCCCAACGAAGAAGATTCCTTCTTCAGCGGCCCGATTGTAAGGGGGCGAGAGAGGGCGACGAGGGAGGACGAGGACGAGGAAGGACCAGGGAAGAGGACAGACTGACTGACCGACTGGCCGGCCGGCTGGCGGACTGTCTGGCTGACGCGCCCCTTGCCTGGCAGGATCCCCTGCTCTGCCTCGGCCCCCGAATACTTCCTGCTTTCCTCCCTCGATCCTTGATTTCTCTCTCCCTCCCTCGATCCTCCCTCTCTCCCTCCCTCCTTCCCTCGACCCTTCATCGAGCGACTCCTTCTTACTCCCTCCCTCGGTCCTCGTCGCCAGCGCGGTCTCCGTCGTTTCGCACCTCCACGTTGGCGCTCACGAGGGCGGTGCTGGCCAGCGCCGCATCCTGCAGGTACTGCATGCCACGATCCCTGCTTGTGCTATGCGTCTCGCCCGTTCTCTCTTCTTTTAAATCTCCCTCTCTTTGTTTCTTCCTATCTCTCTCTGCATGTCTTATGGTTCCATTGTTTATTCTAACTATTTGTTGTTTGGTTTTCGTTAGGTTTGCTGTGCTTTTGGGGTGTCATGTCTGTGTGCGTGTGTGTGTGTGTGTGTGTGTGTGTGTGTGTGTGTGTGTGTGTGTCGTTTTTGTGATTATTTTGGTGATTACTTTTTTGGTGTCTGTTTTCGTTCGTCTTGTGTGGTTGTTTTGCTGTCTACGCACCTTTGCATACATACATATTTACATATTCTCTCGCTCTTTCTCTGCTTCTCTTTCTCTCTCTCTCTCTCTTTCCCTGTCACTTTTCTTGCCTTTTTTGCAATGTGAATCTCCTTCGCTCGTCCGTGCATCGCTGAGTCATTGTAGAAACGCGTTGATCCTGTGTATATCTGTGTCCTTGCGTAAATACCTGGGCTGACACCGGGGTTGCCGATGTCGGTCGCGTTGCCACACAACGTGGCCAATTAGCTCAAACAGGAGCCCAACATATGCTGATCCAGGTGGTTGGGCTCCGCTGCCGCGCCGAAGGAGCAAACGCGAGCGAGAGCCTGATTTCCGCGTAGCCTTCCCTCACTGTAAGCTCTCCCCTGTCCCCTGGCGGTGTTGGTGCTATACTGAGCGTGCCTCTCCTCTTTTCCAGCCGTCCAGTCTTCCACATCCTGCACGAGGGGCAGCAACGGCTCGGTCCACGCACTGTATGGCAACACAACTTCGTTTCGTTGCCGACGCACGGGGCCGTTGCACTCTTCGACGCTGATGGGCTTGCCATATCTGGTCGGGAACTTTTGGATAGCGTGTCGCCCAAGCGGCCCAGCGGCCCCAGCGACACGCTATGCCCTGCGAGCAGATAGCGTGTCGCTCCGCTCCACGAGGCGGGCGGCTCGGAGAAGCTCCGGAAATGGACGCTTGGGAGTGGGGAAGCGGATAGCGTGTCGCGGGAAAGCGTGGTGGGCCAGCACTGGCGGGCGGAGCGACACGCTATCCCAGAGTTCCCGACCGTAGTGCATCCCAAAACCCACCGAGTCCCGCAGAAGATTCCCTCTTCCTCCTCCTCGTCCTCGTCCTCCTCCTCCTCCTCCTCTTCCTCCTCCTCCTCCTCCTCCTCCCTCCTCCTCCTCCTCCGCCATTCCAGCAGTCGGCCGCCAAAAGGGTGTGGGTCCGTTGTTGCCTCGGCTTCTGGCAAAGCGGCACGCCGCGTTCCTTGCATGATGGTTCCATTCGCATCGCACGTGGCCCGTCGTTGATACTTGCCGTGGCTCCCACGGTCCACTGAGAAGTATGTGCGCCCGTTGACACTGCAGACAACGACGGGCACAAGTTCACCTGCCCCCTTCTACGAGCTCGCTGGTTATCGGGAGCCCCTCGCAAGCGCTGGCGGGTGACAGGCGGTTGCGCACACCACGCACACACGCCGCATACGGCGCCCACGTCCTCCGCCTGGGCTGCCCGTTCAACACCGTCTGACCTGGAGCCGTGAGGCGTTCGCAAATTTGTTGAGGAAACGGCAACCGCAACCGCCGACAAAAAAACCGGATGCGCGAGAGCCTTGCATCAACCACCGACAAGCCGGCCTCACACCAGGTCATGCGGCCCAATTTGCGTTGGCACTCCGCCTGCGACTAGCACATTATCTGAGCCAGCAGAATGCTGAGAATGCTGGAACACACAACCTCTGCGTCGCTGGTGCGTCGTGACCCAAGCTGGCAGAGGCGTGGCAGGATCGCAGTTTACAGGGGTCATTGAAGCGAGGGAGGTCGAGCTGAGGAGCGTGGCGGGTAAAGCTCGCAGTTAGATGAGCCTCGACCGCCTCTGGCACCACGTCTTCACACGCGCTCGAAGCTCGACGCCCCTTCCCTTTAACCAACCCCTGGAAACTCCCTTTGGACCTCCACCCCCCCCTCCCTCCCCGCCTCCACTCCAGAGGCCCCAGAGAGGCCCGCACCGCAGGAGGTCCCAAGAGGACTCCAAGCGGCCTTCGAAACGCCCGATAGAGGCCACCCCCAAAAGCCCCCAAGTGACCCCAAGAGGTCTCTCAGAGGCCTCCAGTCACAGACCCAGGTACGTTGGCGGGATGGGCCGAATGCCACTAGGTCCGCCGCCCCCTGTTGATTCATCACAGGGGTGCCTGGCGTGCTGAATCCTTTCGGTTTTGGTTTTGGTTCCTTCTCCAAAAGAACTCCCCCTGGGGCTTCGGCCCGTCCCGCTGGCCACCCGAAAAGATTGCCCAGGACCTCAATCCCCCCCAAATCCGCCAAGACGGCTCAAGATGGCCTCCAAGATGGCCACATTGGCCCAAGATGGCCTCCACGATGGTCCACAATGGCCTCCAAGTCCGCCCAATATGGTCCAAGACGGCCTCCAAGACGGCCCAAGAGAGTCCAAGATACCTCCAAGGTCGCCCGAGAAGCCTCCAAGACGGCCCAAGAGGCCTCGAAGAGGTCCTCCAGGAGGGCCCGAAAATGCTATAATCATTGATTTTCCTTAGGGTTTCGAAGGATTTTGGCATTTGCTTCTTTTCGGCCTTCCGACGGCTCAAGGCTGCCCAAGAGGCCCCAAAGTTCGCCCCAAGATCGCCCACGAGGCCTCCGAAATGGCCCCATGATGGCCCAAGAGGCCCCCAAGACGGCCCCAAGATGCCTCCAACACGCCTAATATGGCCTCGGAGACGGCCCTGAAATGCCCCAAGAGGGCCCCAAGACGATCCAGACAGCCCCCCAAGACGGCTTCCGACGGCGTCAGACAAGCCAGGAACGCCCTAACACGACCAAAGAGGCCCCCCAAAAGCCCCCCAGGAAGCTCCCAGGAGGCCCCAAGAGTGCCCCAAGATGCGCCCAAGAGGCCTCTTCCTCCTCTTCCTCCTCCTCATCCTTCTTCCTGATCCTCCCCCTCCTCCTCTTCTTGCTCCCCCACGCGTTCCCCGAAGTCTTTCCAAACCGACTCGGGGAAAACCTGGCCCGATGGCTTGGCCAAGCTCTGGCCCAGCTGTCGGCCACAGAGGCGCTTCCAAAGGGGCAGGGGGCGTGATTGGCCGTAGGCGTGCTCGATACTTGCTGGCACCACTCCATGCGCGCGTCGGCGTAGCAAATCATGCTTGCGAATTGCTGAATACGCCTCGGCCAATGTCTCGTCATATTAGATGTACGACACAATCTCTCCTGCTTGCCTGCGACGTCGTTTGGTTCATGTACAACTTGTCAAGTCTGACATTCAACACTACGCCTAGGCTGTCCCTGACCAAACGGTGCTTCATATGCTCCTCAAGTGGTGGTCGGCGATGGCTTCCCCTACTCCTACTATTGGCGCAACTGAATGGTGGCCACCTTCCGCCTGGTCGCGCTTTGCATTTGTTGTTTATGATTTTTGGTTCGTTCTTGTTCTTGGAAAAATCACACCATCTCAGAAGTTGCCCGCAGAGAACTGATTTTCTTTCGGGGAACACGTGCTGAGCGGCCTGGCCCCCCCCCCCCCCCATCTCGCCCCTCAGCGCTCACGAAGCTGATTCGGCGCCTGCGGCGGCATCGACGGTGGTGAAACAAGCGTGTTCGCGTGTCCCTCATGCTTCCAGCTCCGAGCGGGCCCGTGCGGCGGCTTGCGCGGATCTACTTGGCGCATGCGATGGTGTCAACGCGCACTAAACAAGCTTGTGTTTTTCGTTTCCTGAATGCCGCCCCCCCTTCTCTAGCCTCCCTGCTCGCCCCTTCTCGCCGGGCCTCTGGCCATAAGACGTAAAACGTGGGCTCAGCTTCTTTTTTCCATGTCTCGGGAACGCCACTTCTTGGAGGTTGGGTAGGCCTGAGAAGCGAAAACCCACCATACAACATGTGTGTGTGTGTGCCTGTCTGTTCCCGAACACGTCGGTTTGTCAATGTCCGTGCAAGTCTATGCATGTTCGTGCTCGTCGTTGCCTGCCTGCCAGGCTGCGTGCCTGAATGCCTGCACGCACAGCACACAGCTCTGCACAACATACAAACATACGTACAAATATCAACATACGCGCACACTACGCAAACATTCATCCATGCACATGCGTAAGCGCACGCGTTATCAAAATACAGCTCTGCCTTGTGAGGATTGTACAAGCCTTTCAGGGACTTCTTGATGTCATTCACGTCCACGGTGTTGATTGACAACGAGAGCACCGACTTGAACTTCGCATAGCTCAGACCATAACCGAATGGAAACACTTCCTTGGGCCGGCTTGCTTTCCCCGTGTCACCATGGTGATTATGTGGATCCCCCTTCCTCCCCGCAGTCCAGGACGACATCCTAAAACAAACAATTCTTGAACAAGCGAACTCTTTGGGTACTGGCTGACAGGCTCCTCATTCGTTTTTTCCTAGGGCCTTGAGACGTTGGAACGTCACAGGAGGTTGAAAACCTTTCCCTTCCAAACAACGTAATCTCTTAGCGTATTCTCGTAGGTGCGCCGAGCTACAGTCCGCCCATGTCACCTTCTGCCCGTCCTGAGTGATGCTCGCTCCTGGAGCTTGGGCGACATGCTTTGACCTCCGACAACGAATTCCCTTTGAAATTCCGCCCTCCTCCATTGGGGCCAAGACGGTGTCTGGACGAGCGTGCCGAACCAATGCAGCCTTCGGCGACGAGGGGATCCCGCGGGGACCAAACTGCATTAATGACTAGAGAAGAAAGCAAGGGAGCGCTGTGACAATGGCCCCTCCGCCCGAGCGTAAGTCAATCGAGTCCTTCTCTGTGTAGAAGCGGTAGGAACGCCCAGGGAAGCCTCGGCTATGATCCGGGCGCATGCTCGCGTCAGCGACATCCACCTGTAGAGTGAGAGCGGGAGCGAGAGGGAGAGAGAGAGAGAGAGATAGAGGGAGAGAGGTGTAGGATACATATGTGTATATATATAGATAGAGAGAGAGAGAGAGAGAGAGAGAAAGAGAGAGAGAGGGAGAGAGAGAAACACAGAGAGAGAGAGGGGGAGAGAGAGAGAGAGAGAGAGAGAGAAGGAGCAGCCCAATGCATGCGCAAGGCGTTGGCGCAAAAAATACGTGCACGGCAAGAAGAAGCTCAACGCATCCCGAACACTGTCCACACTGATTTGAAAGTCTGCGATGTGACAACATTCATGTGTGCTTGCGCCTGAGCCTGCGTACTAATCTAACTCGTAACAGTGACGCAACATATCTATACTGTATCGAAGGGATCTTTGCCGACATTGCGAGCATCCTCGAATGTGTAACTGGGCACTTTCGGGATCCTGCTCGCATTCTCTCAGAGCCACCAGCAGCGAACACGTGGTGCAAAACCCAAACTCATCTCACCCTTTCGGTCAACATGTAAACACACAACCGACGCTCAGCCGAGAGGAGCGGCGTCGCAACATTAACGATACAGCCCGCCCTGCGAGAATCCAACGGTCCGGCACAGGCTCAGCTGGTCATCGACGGGAGGTGCACAGGCAGATGGTGCAGGTGGCATTCCAAACAAACTATAGGTAGAAAGTGGGGGCGTCAATGCCTTTGTGAGGCAGTCCCGCCGACATTTTCAAATTACGGAGTGTGTATGTGCACTGAAATATATACGGGTATCTAGTAGTGATGTAATGTGACGATCAGAAGTGTAGAAAAGTGTGTATCCACATTGGTAGGTGTGTATATATATTTATATTGATTGATCTGTGTACGCCTATGCTCACATCATGTCGCTAAATGGCACACGCACCTCTCCAAAATAGCACGGCTCAGAAAGGACTAATGCGCCCGCGATGTTTGCACCCAATTCGTCCGTGACAGACTCAGAACTCTCAATACCAGACGCGCCCCTCACGCAGATCGCGACGCCAAGGACAACCAACACAAACAGCTTCCATTGTTGCACATAGCTCCTTCAACAACACAATCGTTTTCAATGGTTTTGCGCGTAATTGTTGGGACAACTGCCTTTTCGCTTGAGGCAACACCACACTTATGCAAATCGGGCGCTCCCCAAAGGCACACGGGATCATCATCATCACCACCACCAACATCAATATTATCACCATCATCATCATCATCACCATCATCATCATCATCATCATCATCATCATCATCATCACCATCATCGTCATCGTCATCATCATCGTCATCATCATCATGAATCATCGTCATCGTCATCATCATCATCTTACAACACAACCTTCAACACAATACGGAGTTCCGATGATTTTGCATATTTTTGTAAGCACAACATTGTTCGTTTATGGGTTTCCAGTGTAGTGCTTCAGCATTTTCGCAACCATCCTTCAGTCACACAATGGGAGACATGGGTATTGCACATATTTCTAAGACAAGCGCTGTTTCAACAACTTCCACCGTTGTTCTCCAACTTGTCTCTAACATTTGTTTTCCCATCCCACCTGTTTGTCCTCAACATATTGTGTAATCGCAACCTGTGGCGACCCCATCGGTCACCCACCATCTCTTCATGTATGAGGTTGGGCACGTACGTGCCTTACGCACATCTATATATACATCGAGAGAGAGAGAGAGAGGACTCTCTCTCTCTCTCTATATATATATATACATATATACATGTACACGCGTCTGCATCTATCTGTATATACACATACTGGAACCACGCGCGCGCTTGCATTCTAGCCTTAACTGCGACATGCGGCTCTCGTTTTCGCTCGTCTGAGGGGCGGCACAGAGAAATCCGCCGCATAACCGTCCTCCGAAGCCCGAACGCGCGAACATGCACGGAATGGTCATGAACCCACGAATCGTCGACGATGCTTGCCTGTTGGGCGCTCTTGAGCTGTTCCCGCCTGCGCAGAATTAGGTCGAGGGCGTAGTCAATAATGCTTCGGGCTCGGATGTTCGGGTTAAACTTCCACGGCGAGGGTGCTACCGTGATGGCGAGGTCGTCGAGGTCGTTGGGATTACGGTCTGAGGGGTAGGGTGTTCCGGTGATGGTGCAAGGTGTGGAGCGCTGAGGTATGGGTTCGAGTTAGCTCCCGCTCAGGTGTTTCGGTGAGAATATTGGGTTGTGAGGTTAGGCGCAGGGTATGGTAGGACTAGGGTGATGCGGCAAACTTGTCGCTCGTCCTTGAGGGGCGCTTCATAGGGTTTAAATACATGTGTCAAAGGAAATGTGAAGGCTCCTGGGACGGGAGGGCGTCTTACAACATCCCTGAAGTCTTCTGAGCTTGCTCAGAACCCCCCCCTGCCGTATTCCTCTTTCTCCTCCCTCTCCTCCTTCTCCTCCTCCCCTCTCTCCTTCTCCTCCTCCTGCTATTTGTCCTCATCCCTTTTTGCCCTCTCCTCCTTGTGCTCCCCTCCCTCCTCGTCTCCCCTCCCTCGTTAGGGTGGAATGATGGGGCCGTGGTGGCTTTTGACTGCCGGTCAGTGCGGGATATAAATACTGCCCTGCCTGGCTTTAGAGCTTAAAGCTCCAGCCTTGCGGCCCCCCTAGTGGGGGGCCCCAGACGGCGCTGAATGGCACGCTTCCTCCCGCCGAGTCGATCCGATCCGATCCCCCCCTCTCGTTGCCCTGCTCCTTGTCCTCCTGCTCTTCCTTCCCCCTTGTCATCCCCTCCTACCTGTCCGTCATCCCCTCCTACCCTTATGTTGCTCCCAGCGCACTTGACGACCAAATCCCAGAAATAATTTCGAGCACCCAGAAAAGTATCGAAGCAATTTCGAACGAATGTCGCCTCCCAGGGCCCGACACGTGAACACCCTCACGTTTTTGGTACCTTCTGGGTGAGCGCAATTACTTCTGGTGATCAAGGCTAAAGTGAGTTGGAACATCATGATCCTGCCCCGTGCGTCCTCCCCTTCTACACCCGACCGCCCTTCCCTCCGCCTCCTCCCCCCGCTTCCCCCCCCCCTATTGGGACGAAAAGGTGTGAAGAGGTCGGGCGTCCGGACGGGGCATTCGGCAAACGCCCTCCAAGATGAGCCCTCGGATCGCTCCCTGTGCTCAGACGCACCACCGCTTGGAGCTGCGCTTATAGAGGTGGCGACGAGGGGAGACCCCGAGGGCTAGCTGGAACGCCTGGAACCTCGATCGTCGAGCGCCGAGGCTCGAATCTCGCAATGGCCTTGGGGCTAACGCTGGGGCGTCGGCGGCCGTTCGGGACGATTGCGGCACCCTGGGACGCCTTTTTCCATCCCAGTTCATGGTAAGACGGTCCCAGGGCTCGAGAATGCTTCCCGGACGCTTAAAACGTAGAAGAATATCCGCGACCCTCGAACAGTCCAGCGCGCCTGGCGGAAATCCAATCAAAATTAAGATTCCCCTCCGCTGCTGTGGTCCTGACGCACCAAATCTTCGAGTTGAATCAAGTCTTGATGATATAAGAAATATTCAAAGGAAGCCCGGATTTTGGTCGCAAGTGACATCGGTCTCTTTCGCAAAGAAAGGAACGGAGGAGAGAGAACCGCCGAGGTAATATGAATGTGGGAGAAGCGTGTATACAGGCGGAAAGACGGATGATATAATACCCTACCTGAGAGGGGCCCGGAGAGGATGAGCGGGGGACGGAGAAAGGAATGAGGCGGGATCGCATAGCGTCCCCCGCCCATTTCTTCGGCATGCCGTTTACACGGATCGTGCCCCTCAGGGAGCGCCACCTACGGCCCCAGAGAAAGGCAGGGTTCACACAGCGCGCCCCGCGGCGATCGTGCACCTTGGGAACCCCACTTGCAGAGGGTGGGGCAGTATTCGCACGGCGTCTCTCCCACCTCTCGGCACGCCCAGCGGCCCACAAGGAATTAGCTCCACGTGAGGCCCCCGTGGGGAGTTTCGCGTAGCGCGTCCGCGCGCATTTCGACTCACGCCTCGCACGCATCATGCCCCGCAGGGAGCTCCACCAACAGCCCCAGCGTCAAGGTTCGCATGCCGCCGCCCCGCCCATGTCAGCACACCGCTGACACGCATCGTGCCGCACACGGAGTTCCGCGTGCGGCCCCAAAGGGAAGGCTCACAGGCGTCCCCACTGCAACTCCGGGGCGCCCCTTGCACGGATCGCGCCCCGCAGAAACCTCCACCGACGGCCCCAAAGGGAGGGTTCGCATAATGCCAACTTGTAATTAACATGCGCGTGATTGAAACATGGTTCCCCTGCTCAGGCGAATCGCGGGGGGGGGGCGCCCGCCACATGCAAACAAACGGCGGCGGCGCCGGTGATTCACGTCGACACCCAGCAGACAGCAAGAAGGCGACAGGCGCGACGCAGGCGGCGCTGCTTCAGCGGAAGGGGACACCAGCGCCTCCGCTATCGCGGGGCGGCTGGGCCCAAATGCCTACAAACAGGAAAGAAAGAGGAGGCAGGGGAAAGAGGCGCCTCAGCTGGCGGGCGGAGCCGAAATGGGTACAAACAAGAAAAGGATGAGGGGAGGAGGAGCTGCAGAGGCAGGCGGAAAGAGCTCTTCCTTCTCTTTCTCCTTCCCTCCCCCCTCCAATAAAGCGTCCTACGACGACGACGACGCCGACGCCGACGCCGACGTCGACGCCGACGTCGACGCCGACGCCGACGCCGCCTCGCCAACGACGACGACGACGACGACGGCGACGGCGACGGCGACGGACGACGACGACAACGACTACGGCACTGCGGATGCTCCATGGGGGGGGGGGCGGGGGTCTGCGTATGCCCGCTGTGTCGTCGTCGACGACGACAACGATCGACGATGACGACGACGTCGATGACGACGACGACGACGAGGACGATAACGACGACGACGGACGACGACGACGACTCAACGACGCCTGCGACGACGACGCACTGCGGATGCTCTATTGCCCCAGGGAGGGGGCTGTGTACGCCCTTTGCAGTCGACAGTCGACGTCGACGTCGACGACTGTGGCACGTCAGCAATCAGCCTGGGTGGGAGAAAATCTGCGCTTCGGATAAACATGGTCCATATCACAACTTCAATACGAAAAATCATCGTTTTGAGGCTGTCGTGCAGGGGGGTACACGATCCTTTCGGCGGCGCCCGCGACGACCCCCTGGCGCGCGTGACTAAACAAATTGTTTCGTGGCCCGCGGGGTCTTTTCATCAGCCCCAGGGGGACGGATCATTGGTTAATCACAAGCTTTTACCCGCGTCAGCCCCCATGATTCGGCACAACCGTGGCGCGGATCGTGCCCCGCAAGGAGCCCCACCTATGGCACCAATGTGCAACTTCGAACGGCTTCCCGTTTCGGCGTACGTGTCACGCTGATCGCGCTCCACGGGGAGCTCCACCTACGGCCTCAATGGGCGCGCCCGCGCAGTGGCCACCCTCGTCAAAAGGATCGCGCCCCACCGGGAGTTCAGCGCTCCTCTGCGCGCTAGCTCTGCAGCGTCCTCCGTTCCGCAAAACAACGCGGCGCGAAGTGTATGAAGAGATGGTCGCGCCCTGAGCTACATACAGCTGCGTAGGGTTGAGTCCTTGGCCAGGCTCATTGTTTCCCCTCTTCTTTGTACCTGACTAAGCGACTGCATACAACTGTGCAAACACATGCGAGAGAACGCGTTTCGTGGACCCTTAGTTGTAGCAGATCCCTGTCGAAACCGCCCCACCCACCTCAAACATGTGAAGCGTCCTGAGAACTCCGGCCTCTCTAACGGGGCTCCCCCACCCCCGCCCTCCAGGGGGGGGTCGAACTGGTGCCCCCACCTCTCTGTCCACAGGGGGAGGGGTGTTCGCACGGACCCCCGCCTTTCCTTCTCTTAATCGAACCGAATCAGTTCCTGATTAAGTTCTCATAGTTTCCTACAATAGCTGGAACCAACTTTGATACCATCCCAGTCGGGCTCGATCCAACTCTACTAGAATCCTAGTGTAGCTGGATCCAGCTCTTGTTGAATCCTACTAAGGCTCGATTCATCTCACACAGAGTCCTGCTATAGCTAAATCCAGCTATCCTTGAATCCTGCTAGGCCTCGATCCAGCTCTAAGATAATATGCCTAGGGCGCGATCCAGCCTTGATAGCCCCCTGCTAAAACTCGCTCGTCGTCGTCGTTGCCCGAAGGCGCCAGCGCCAGCGCTGGCGCTCGCCGTTGTCAGTTGCCACTGGGGATGGAAGGCCCTGCCCGCCCTCCCCATGGCGTGGTTCGAACCCCCCCTGCAATTCGGGGCTCCCCCCCCTCCCGGTTCGAACCTCGCTTCCCCTGGAGCCCCCCCCCCCGCCCCCCTCCAGGTTCGAACCCTCCCCCCCTCGGATTTCAGGTCCCCCCCAAGTTCGAGCCCCCGCCCCCTCCCCTCCCAGCGTCCGCACATGCACGAACATACGTGGATGTATATCTGCACACGTATACACATGCATGCGTACAAGCGTACAGGTGCTCAGAGGCGCAAGCATACAGCATGGGTAGAAGACTTATGCAGCATACGAGTACATGCGTATATGTGTACTTAGATCTACATTCATACATAGAAGCATGCATGCATACATACATACATACATGCATATGTTTACGTTTATGCTGATCTTATGCTTTGTATGTATACTCTTACCTTGTATGTATGTATGTCTGTAGGTATGTGTATGATTGTATATGTATGTATGCATATATGTATACATCTATTTGTACAAACATCTACAAGCAGTACCTGCGCCTGTGTCATGAGTCAGGTGCGTCTTGGATGCCTTTCGGGGCCTCTTGAAGCCTCTGTAGGAGCTCTTCAAGTCCATCCGGGTGCCTCTCGGCGCCTCTTGGGGGCCTCTCGGGAGCTTCTGGGGGCCTCTTGGGGACGTCCTTGGGAGCCTCCTGGATAGTTTTGGGGACATCTTGGTAGCCACACCCTCGATTTAGTGCCCCACGACCCCCTTGGCAACCTCTTGGGGTCCTCTTGGGGCTCCCGTGGGGCCCTCTTGGGGCTCTCGTGGGCCGTCTTGGGCGCCCCTTGGACCGTTTTGGGGCCCTCTTGGCCCGTCTTGGGGCCCTCGTGAGCCTTCTTGAAGCCTCCTTGGACCGTTTTGGACGGTGTGGTGATCCAAGGATGCGAACATGCTAACATTTACGTGCTCTCACAAGGCAATGGGATGATTTTGGCCTCCTGAGGCCCTTAGGGGGGGCCTCTTGGGGGGCTTTTGGGGCGTCTGGGGAGCCTCTTGGCCCTTCTTGAGGCGTCGTGGAGCGCTCTGGGGGCGTCTTGAAGGCCTCTTGGGTTCTGGAGGCCATCCCGGGCGCCCTTGGAACGCTCTTGGGCGGTGTCGGACCCCCAGGGGCCTGATCCAGGGCCCCGGGCCTGGGATCTCCCTTATGTGTATACGTACATGTGGAGTGCATGTATGTATGTGTATATGTATGTTTGTATATTTGTATGTATATATGTATGTATGTATGTACGTACATATGTATGCATGCATTTATGTATGAGTGCCTTGATGTATGCATGTATGGTTGTACGCCTTTATTTTATATATAGTTATGTTTGTTTGTTTGCTCGTTCTCCAAATCGGCTTGCCCTGTAGGAGTCCTAGCTCAAACCTTAGTAATTGGTCCGTTGCCCCCTCCAAATTCCTATGCCCCCCCAATTCCTATGGCTATGCCTATGCTTATGCCTCCCCCCTAACTCCTATGCCTACGCCTATGCCTATGCACCATCTCTGAGCGCTCCTATGCCTATGCCTATGCCTATGCCTATGCCTATGCACCACCTCTGGGCACCCCCTTTGTCCACTGGCCCCCCCCCCTTATTTCCAATGCCCCCCCCTCCCCACCCTTTTTCCAATGGCACCCTCCCTTATGTATGCTTGCTTGCTTGCTTGCTTGCGCGCTTGCTTGCACGCTTGCTTGCTTGCTTGCTTGCTTGCACGCTTGCTTGCTTGCTGAGTTGCGTATTCTAAGCATGCTCGATTCCTCCGATTCCTTGACTTGAATCGTCCGATCTATTTGGATTCAACGCTGGCTGAAGTTTGTTTGTGTGTAGGTATGCATGTATGTATGTATGCATGTATGTAGGAAAGAATGACTGTGTGCATGTATGTATGTATATATGTACGTATGTAGTTGTGTATTCATGTATGGATGTATGCGTAACTATACATTTGTGTGTATGCATCTATGCATGTGTGTACGTCTGCATGTATGTAGGTATGCATGCATGCATGTCTGTCTGCATGTACAAATGCATGTCTGTATGTATACTTGCAGGCATGCGTGTTTGTCTGTATGTATACATGCATGCATGCATGCATGCACGCATGCATGTATGCATGCATGCATTCATGCATGTATGCATATATGCATGCATGTATGTATGAATGCATGCATGTATGTATGTATGCATATGTGTATCTTTATATGCATGTATGCCTGTACGTGCATATATAATTCATGCATGTGTATGTGTGTGCACACACACATTCACACACACGCATAGCAACAGCTACACACATTGTACACTATAACTCGACAACGATATATATATATATACATCAACAAACAAGTGATACACACATATATATATAGAGAGAGAGTGATATATACATATGTATATATATATAGAGAGAGAGAGCGAGAGAGAGAGAGAGATAGAGATATATATAGAGAGAGGGAGTGATAAAGGAAGGAACACGAGAGAGGGAGGTAGTGAGGAAGGGAGAAATATACGTATACGTGTGTATATGTACAGAGAGAGGACATAAAAGGAGACAGGCACAATGATAACGACAGAGGGAGAGATAGATAGAGAGAGAGGGAGAGAGAGACAGAGATAACGAGGGAGAGAGGGATATTTATACACATCTATGTATACATACAGAGAGATATATAGATAGAGAGAGAAACAAACAAAAAACAGAGGGAGACAACAGCGAAGAGGAAGGACGGGGAAGGGGAGCGCGGAGGGAGGTGTGCGGGCCGTGGTGGTGTCAAAGGAGGGCGGAGGTGAGCAGGGAAGCGGCGAAAGGCAGAGGCAGAGCGCGAAGGACCTTCCCCGCGAAGCTTTCGGGGTACCACGTCTGCGTGAGCCTCCCGCTCGGGGTGGTGGCCCCAAAGACGGCGTCCGCGATGGCGGCGCCCCCGAACTGCCCGGGGTAGCCGGCCCACAAAATCGCCTGGATCTTTTTTGCGTCAATGCACTCTTGGGAGGAAGAGCGGGGAGGAGGGCGAGGAAGAGGGGAGAGGAGGAGGAGCAGGAGGAAAAGGAGGAGGAGGAGGAGGAGGAGGAGGAGGAGGAGGAGGAGGAGGACAAGGAGGAGAAGGAGGAGGAGCGCTTCTTATTCGGCGTTTCGACATTGGGCGAAGAGGCGGGAGGAGGGAGGGGGTCTGCCACAGTGTGTCCCATAGGGGAGGCTCCGCCTGCTTGAAGAACAGGCGCCGAAAACAGCCACCATCTACTCCATGGGGGGGAAGGGGTGCGAGGGCCGAAGCCGATCGGCAAAGCAATGATGCTGAACATGCTCACAGGAGGAAAGCTGGCGGGAATGACAGTGCGACGAGATCTGGCAGTGCAGCGAAGCATGCAAACATCTGCAACGGCCCTGGACGCGGGGGAAGGGGGGAGAGGAAGGACCGCCTGGACTTTTTGCCGGTCCTCCCGGGGGCGGCATGCAGGACTTCCCGTTCTTCTTCTCCTCCGCCAGCCTCCTCCCTGAGGCCCTCCGAGGGTCCTCGGAGGTCCTCGGCGGGCTCGAGAGAGCCCAAGAGGCCCCTGGAGGCCCCCAGGGGCTCGAGGAAGGGCCACCGCGGGCAAAAACGTGGATTTTCTCCTCCTCCTCCTCCTGCTCCTTCTCCTGCTCCTCCTCCTGCTCCTCCTCCTGGGTTTCCTTCCCTCCCGCCTTCCTTCGCGCTGCCCTTCGTCGTCGAGCTGCCTCCCGCCCTGCTGCTCCTGCCCAAGACAGCGCGCCTGCGCCCACGGCCCTCGTCCCTCCTCCCCCCGGTGCCAGCGGCGCCCTCTGGCGCGCACGCACTGTCTGGCCTGAGGCCCGCGTCCCTGCTGAGCTCTGCCCTCGACGCACAGAGGTCGACGATTTTGGGGCGCCTCCGTCACGTTCCCGGCCCTCGGCAGGCCTCCTGGGGCCCCTCCTGGCGACGCCACGGGTCAGGATCCCGGGCGGCGCTAGCACTCGCCAGATGCCCGCGCCCCTGCCAGATGCCCGCGCCCCTGCCCCCAGGCCCGTGCTCCTGGGCCTCGCCTCACAACATCCCCCGAGCGCCACGGACGTCGTGGCACGCGCGTGGGAAGAGGCCCGAGGCAGCACGGCCCAGGTGCAGCTTGCCCCGCACGCCGCTTTCACTCGCAGGCGGCGCTGGGGCGAGCGGGCGCGCGTGGGACGTCGTGTGGAGACGTGGCGATGCGCGGAGGCTCTGAGCTCGACAGGCTCTGTGGGCAAGGATCGCCAGCATGTCTGTCCCATTCAGCTTGCGCTCTCCCTCCTTCTCTTTCTCCTCCTGCCCACTCTCGATCCATTGCGCTTGTCCTTCGATTTTTTTCCTGACGTTCGCTTTCTACCTCTGACCCTTGTGTTCCTCTCCCGACTGTGCAGCATGCCTGTGGCACTGGAAGGTCGCGCATGGCTGTCACGTCAACTGGCCCAGCGCTCATGATCACCTGGGCGCGGCAACTAGGTGGGACCCCCCCCATATCTGCAGATCGGAGCAGGAGCGAGCAACTATTCATGAGAAACCACAACAGATTCAACATCCATGGCCAAGCCCTCGCCTCGTTACACCAGGAGGAGCCCACATGGAGGAAACCTCCTCCTCCTCCTCCTCCTCCTCCTCCTCCTCCTCCTCTCCCTTCTGCCCCTCCTCCCGCCTCCCCTCTCCTCGCTGTGCTCCCCCTCGCCCTCGTCGTCCTCGGGCAGGGGCCGCTCGCCAGGACCACGCGCTTCCCGGCAGCCTCGGCCGCCGCCACGACCTGGCCGGCAGGCGCCCGCCGCGATCTTCCACGGCCCGGGGGGAGGGGAGGGAGGAAGGAGGAAGGAGGGGGAGGGGAGGGATGAAGGAGGAAGGAGGGGAGGGAGCAGGGGGAGGGGGGAAGGAGGAGGAGGAGAAGGAGGGAAGGAGGGGTAGGGGGAGGGAGAGGGAGCAGAGGGAAGAGGAGGGAGGGGAGGGGGGAGGGGGAGGGAGGAAGGAGGGGGAGGGGCGGGAGAAGAGGGAAGAGGAGGCGGCGGAGGAGAGGGACGGCGGAGAAGGAGGAGGGGCGCGAGGCGGCGGAGGAGGCGAGGGAGGGGGAACAGGAGGAGGAGCAAGACGCGACTGTGAGCCCGATGTCCTCGTCTCGCCACAGCAGAGGGGTGATGAGGAGGAGGAGGAGCAGGAGGGAGGGGAGGCAGAGAAGCAGGATGAGAGCAGGATCAGCAGAGAACGATACGATTATGCTGAGGACGACGATGATGATGATTATGATGTTAATGAAGGAGGAGAAGAGGAATATAACATAATATGATGTTGGTGAGAGAGATGAGCACGAAAACGTAGTCGATGATGCTGCTGATGATGATGGTGAGGAGGAGGATGAGGAGGAGGAGAGGCAAAGAAGGAGCCGAACGAATCGGACAACTCGTTGCCATCCCCCTCGAGATCACTGCTGTGCCTCGTCCTGCTGCTGCTGCTGCTGCTCATCCTCCGCGTGCCTTTCCTTCTCAGGGTCCCTCCCCCCATCCCATTCCCTCTCCTCGTCCTGCTTTTCCCCCCCCATCCTCCTCCAAGCTCTCACCGCGTGCGTGGCACGAGCGTAGTGGCCATCGCTTCAATCTTCCGTGTAGTGCCGGTGCCGAAGGTTCACCAGCCCTTGTGGGCAAAGGCACTTGGGGTCCCCTCCTTCTCCCACTCTAGCGGCTCCTTTACCACCATCCTTGCTCCCAATCAACTGGGTACTATTTCTGTCACGATCGGTCCTCCGCTTGCGCTTCCAGCTGCCTCTAGTCTCGTGAACAATCGCCACGGTTCACCTTCTAGGCATTAGGCTCCTGCTTTCCCAACCCTCCCCGGCTCTGTCTGGCTCCACCAATGGGTGGCTTGGACCACCAGCCCGCCTCGGGCGCGATGGAAGAGCAGTGTTCGGCCAGCCTTTCCTGCCACCTGCACACGTCTGGCGCAGTGCTTTTATGGAGCCCACAGGGCGGGCGTCACGGCGGACTCCCCGGGGGGAAGCCTGCACGCCACTTCTGCAACCAGTGGGTGTTGGGGATACTGGTTGCTCTTCTCCGGTACTTCGCCACCGGGCTCCTGCCGAAGGCGTCACTTTGCAAGCACTTTGGCTTCGGCACCGCCTGTATCCGAGGTTATGCCTCCTCTCGGCCTCGCTCTGAGGCTCCGCCGCTTCCTCCCTCCTCTTCTCTGGCTAATTCAAGCTTCGCGCGGCCCGCTTAGCTTCGACCGGAAGAGGTGCGCTCTCGACCCGCGGATCAAAAAAAAGGTGTTGGGGATAATGCCTTGCCGAGGACCGGTACCCATCGTTGCAATGTTTCTTGGGGCCATGCTGGCGTCCCGTGGGGGGTCGGACGGCCTATTGGGTGTCCATTGGGGACGAAGTGCGCGAATAGTGCCCCGAATTGAAGCTCCCCTGAGCCGTCTGAGGGGTCAGTTGAGAGCGTGAGAGGTGAGAGGTGTGCTGAATTGAGCCCTTCGTAGCCCTCGGAGCGCAGATCATTCGTTGTCGAGGATGCCCCGAGCGAAACGACAGATTTTGAGATTCAGAGTCCCCTCCGAAGCCGATTGATCGAGGATGTCCTGAGCGAAACGGCAATTTGAGGCCATCAGAGCACGTTTCACTCGTATTTTTTAGGTGTCCCAAGAGGCTGGGCCATCTGACTGCCCGAGGCCGCGTCGCAGCCCTGTCGCAGCCCGGCGCATCTCACTCGTATTTTTGCGTGCCGCAGAACCTGTGACGCTCATATGCCTTACCCTGGAGGCGCCTTTCAGTTGTATTTTCGGCGCTCCACGAGGATTACTAGTAATTGACCTCTTCTGGCAGGCGGAGTGGGCGACCATCTTAGCATGCCTAATGCATGCCATCTCCCTTTCCTCCATCATCCTCCCTTTCACCGTCTACCCTCCGAGGTTACAACACGGCCATGGCCCGCAGGGGACCCGCCGAATTGAGTTCGCAGAGCGGGAGTCACGGCGGGCCCCCAGGGGGAAGCTTCCACGCAGATTTTGCAATCAATGGGTGTAAGGAATACTGCCTCGACGAGTGTCGGTACCAATCGCCGCAATGTTTCTTTGGGTCTATTTGCGCCCCGTGGGGGATTAGGCAGTCTTGGAAGCCATCTCAAGGCCTTTTGGGGTCCATGGGACACGACGTGCGTGAAGGTTATGCCCAATTGAGATTTCCTTCAAAATGGAATGGCAATCCACTGGCATTCTTACGTCTTCCAAAAGCCTCGATGTGCAATCCACTCGTATTCTTACGTGCCGCAGGAGCCAGACAGCACAGATCGCACGTGTCTTCCCGTGTCAACAGGAGAACGGAGGTGTGGCTGCCCTCTTCGGGCGGGCGGAATGCGCGATGCCTCTACTCGCATACTCTCATGCATGCTTGTCCCTCTCCTCCATCACATCCTCCATCTCGTCATCTATCCTCGAGTCCCAACACGGCAAGGGCTCGCAGGGGGCCCACCGAATTGAATTGCTTCGCTCATTCTGACGGCCCATATTGCACCGCTGTGGCGTGCCCATGGCGGTCGAGAAGGATGATCGAGGACCCGATATGGGGAGGAGGAGGAGAAGGAGGAGGAGGAGGAGGAGGAGGAGGAGAAGAAGGAGGAGGAGGAGGAGGAAGAGGAAGAGGAGGAGGGGAGGAGGAAGAGGAGGAGGAAGCCTCTCGACGGCTTCTTGGGACACTGTGGCGACCAAACCGGGTCGCGGACAAGACGCCTCTTTGGAAGGCTTCTTGGGGTCTCTTTGGAGGCCTCTCGGGGGCCTCCTGGTGGCATTTTTGGGACCTCCTTGGTGGGACCTCCTTGGGCCTCTTGGGAGCCCCGTAGGGCATCCTTTTGCCCTTCTCTCTGCCTCTTGAAGGTTTCTTGGGGGGCCTGCTGGCGGTCTGTGCGGCCCATTTTCGGGGAGGGCTCGATGTGTCTGTTCGGGTTCCCCTTCTTGCGGTCCTCTCTGGAGCCTCAGGAGCCTTCTGGGGAGACCTCTTTGGCCGTCTTTGGGCCCTCTTGGGCCGTCCTGGGGGCCTCTTGAGCTGAGTCGGGGCGATCTTGGAGGCCTCGTGGGCCGTCCTGGAGGCTTGAATATGTGATAACGCCCAAATCTGTTAAGTATTCACTGCGTGGAGCATCCCATATGTGCATCCATTCGCATGGACCTGTCTGTCCGTGACTGTCTAGGCGCAACAATCTTCGAATATATGCAAGCTTGAGGTTTGACGGTCTGGGGGTGAATCTACCTGTGAACGAATTGGAGTGTGAATGACTCGCATAGTACGAGTGCGTCTCTGCGCATGAGCCTGGGGCCTCCTGGGGCCTCCCGAAGCCTTCTGGGGCTTCCTGGGGCCTCCCGCAGCCTCTTGGGGCCTCCTGGGGCTTCCTGTGGCCTCCCGGAGTCACCTGGGGCCTCGTGTGGCCAGGCCCAAATCTGTAGGAACATATGTAGAACACCTAGGATTGGATACACAAGAGGAGGACACAGTATAGAAACATCGGTAAAACACTAGGGATTCGTGCTCCAAGGAGGCCCAATCTATAGGAACATATATAAAGAACTGGGGATTGGAGCCACTCCTGTGGCCTTCAGGGGCCTCCTGCTCCTGGGTCCTCTTGGGGCCTCCTGGGGCCTTCTGGGGCCTCCTGGTGCCTCCTGGCGCTTCCTGTGGCCTCCTGTGGCCTCTTGGGGCCTCCTGGGGCCTCCTGGTGTTTCCTGGTGCCTCCTGGAACCTCTTGGGGCGTCCTGGGGCCTCCTGTGGCCTCCTGTGGTCTCCTGTGGCTTCCTAGAACATCCTGGAGCCTCCTGAAGCCTCCTGGGGGCCTCCAGGGACCTCCTGGGACCTCTTGGGGCCTCCTGCGTGGCCTCCTGTGATATCCTGTGGCCTCCTGTGGCCTCCTGGAACCTGCTGGAGCCTCCCTCCTGTGGCATCCAATGAGTCTGAAGATGCGTGAGTCTGAGCACGGGTGAGTTTGAGCGTAAGTGAATCTGAAACATCCTCGCCCTCTGGGCCCCTTGGGGTGTTGAAACCAACGCCTCACCCGAGACATCCCCTATAATCTACTTTGAACGCAGACGAATATTGCCACCAAGAAACAAGCAAACCACTTGAGACATCCGCAAGATCTGGCCCCCCTGGGGTGCGACAACCAGCGCCTCGCTCGAGACATCCTCAACATCTCCTCCGAAAAAAAACGGACGATGTTGCGCTGGCACGCAGGCAAACCGCTCGAGACTTCCCCGCCATTTTGGCGCGAACGGAAGAGTCAGATACCCTCTGGCGGCTCCCCCTTGGGGGTGCGTAAACCCTCGACTCGCTAGAGACATCCTCAGAAATTGCTCCGCCATCATCATCATCATCATCATCATCATCATCATCATCATCATCATCATCATCATCATCATCATCATCATCATCATCATCATCATCATCAGCATCATCATCATCACCACCACCACCATAATCATCACCACGACCACCACCTCGCCATCATCATGATCATGATCATGATCATGCTCATCATCATCACCATCATCATCACTATCATCGTCAACATAATCATCAGCATCATCATCGTCGTCGTCGTCATCATCAACATCATCAACAACACCATCAACACACAATAACATAGCATACCAGACCACAGCAGCCCATACCATAACACGCCGTACCATAATACGCCATACCATTATATATAACATATCAGATCATAACATGCCATAACCTAACATATAATGATAAGGGAGAGAAGGTGGAAGGGAGGTGTGAGTGAGGAGACGGCGCGGTCGGAATAATAACGAGAACCCCATCTTTTGGATATGGGGAAAAACCACGGAACATCATTGACTTTGCTTCGTCGGGCCCTCTTGGGTTCGTCTTGGAGCCCTCCTGGAGAGTTTTGGGCGCCACTTGGGCCGTCTGGAGACCAACCTGGGCCACCTTGGAACGCTCTGGGCCTGAGGCCTGGGGCCTGCCACCTATTTGGCGCCTCCTTGAGGCGCTCCTGGGGCGTTCTGGGGGCCCCCGGGGCCGCGCCCAGGAGTTGGTTCCGGCATCTCTGACGCAGACCTGCCGAGGACTTGCCTGGGACGTGCCCGGGCACTTTTCGTCCAGGGGGGCCCCCAGGGCCAGGTGCGAGCGAACTGGAAGCATTCAAACTCAGCCATGGGACTTTAGCACGCCTTTGGCCCGTTGGGCCAGCGAATTTCTCAAGGGAAGCTAGCAACATGCACGGATCAATTGCCTAGTTCGATCTGAGCGTTACTTTGAGCGCCAGAGTTCGTAACGAAATACTTCTGTGATGGCATTCTTGTAT